ACACACACACACACACACACACACACACACACACACACACACACACAATGAACCAGTTCTCTCCTTGTTACTCAAAGTGACTCAAAGCTATAAATTGTTTGATCATTTTGAAAAAGAAAGGGAGGTATTTTGCCTTTAAAGAGAAGCAATGACAAGAAGAGACACAATCTTTCTTTTGCTCTGACCTCAAGCCTCCATGAGTGGCCATGTGTGAACAGCCAAACATGTAGAAACGATGGGATGGGAAGGGGGATCCAAACTCCTGCTGCTCTGCTACCCGCTCACAGCCCAGCCGGCTGCCGCTTTGTGATCAGGCAACGGTCCGGGCTGCAGACAGGGGTCCTCCATCAGCTGGAAAGCCCTCCCACCCTAGTAGAGGTAGAAGATCTCTTGAGAGAGGAGGGGGGTGTGATCGATGATGGACACAGTGCCTCTGCTATGTGTGTGTGTGTGTGTGTGTGTGTGTGTGTGTGTCAGGCGGGGTGGAGCAGCTACTACAGGCAGTGGAAGGGAGGCAGCTCTGATGGTGGAGGCTTATAAAAGAGAAGGTACTGAGTGGTGGAGGTAGGGAGGGGGTATGCTGTGTAAACAGCCTGACTTTGATTGACAGGACTGGGGGAAGGGGGGTGGGGTGGCTGAGCAAGTGCTCAAGTAAAGAGGGAGGGGGGGGGGGGGGGGGAGTTGTTGAATGCAGGTTAGATTGTGTCTGTGTGTGTGTGTGTGTGCACACGGGCACTTTGAAAGGAGGGGAGAGCAGGAGGAAAGTGAGCTTTTAATTACCAGGGCAGAGGCAGATGTAACAGAATGGTTCCCCCCAACTTGACAAACACACACACACACAATCGCACACACACGGCTGTTTCTCAGCAGCTGGAAATCATCAGCTTTTGCGACTGTGCGTTTGTGTGTTTGAGGGACAGGAGCCTTTTTTGAGTTTTTTCATCGTTTGATTAAATTTCATTGTTTCTCCCCAACCTGAAGATCACTGTATATATATTTGCTTTAAAGATGAACTTTGGATGAGTTTTACGACCCAAGTTCATAATGAGATCATCCCCAAAGAAAGATGGAAACAGTCTTACGGGCGTCCTCAGTCTGTTAAACCCCTAAAACTGTTAATATAAAGAGAGCTTAAAATGATGCTTGTTAAAACTACATATTACCATTTTACCCAGAATTATTAAAACATTTGTTTTCATATCAATAAAAAACATGGTTTTCAGTGCAAACCTTTAAGAGTCAAGGTAAATCTGACATATTCTTTATGGCAAACAGTTTATAACACATTATTGTGTATTTTTTAAACATACTCCATGACCCCCGTTACTTGATCCAGAGTGTTTCTTTATTTTTGTGATTTGAAATACCAAAAAAATCAGATCCCGACCCCCCCCCATATCTTTTCCACTTGTACAAAAAATTTGATCCAAACAATTGTGTGCACAGATGAAAACATGGTGCCCAGAGTATAAAATCATCAAGAAAATGGTGCAAAACTTAAAAAAAGAAACACAATGTCCCTGCACATAGAAAAATAAATTAATACTTTTGTGTGTCCAGTCACTGTCAATCTTGTTTATCTGGTCCTAAAGATTCACACGCACGAGCTGAGGCTTCATTGGCTTTTCCTTCACACCAGCACGGCCAATCACAATCACTTATGTACACCGACGGCCAATGAGAGACGTTTATGTACACTTAACGAGGTAAAAACTGTGCCGCTGAACACCCCCTGACACACTTCCTCCCCCCTAATAACAGCTATATACACCCAGCCCCCACCCCACCCCAATCAGCCAACTTTTAAGTTGCTTCTAGCTTTCAAACACATGACACAGAGTAGAAGTCATTAGAAGGGTTTACAGCAAGATTAGACTGTATGGAGGATAAACAAAAACAAACAAAACTGTACACAGTAGTACAAAATGATGTTAATTTGCAAAAATTAGTGGGCTTTGAAAATATATTATCTTATGCCCAATTACACAAAAACTCCAGATAAATAAAAAGAACAACGTTACGTTGCTTTTGATATTAAAGAACGCAGCAGAATATCATTTTCCTCGTTTCATAAAGAGACAGTGCGCGCAGCCTGATGGACCGAGTGTTTTGCAGTGATCCTCCACTTGAGCGATGCAGCGTCCATCAACAGTAGAGCTGTGAAATATTTGGGCGAGTGACAAAGACTTAAAGGAAAAGTAAATCCCGCCTTCCTCCTTTAGGCCTCAGGCACTTGGGGTGGGACCGTGATTGGCCAGTCCTGACTGGGGTGGGTTTGTAAGTGGCCGCTGCTGTCGGCCTTTTAGGTCCTGATAGGCTGGTCCTGCTCGAGAGGTAGGTGCGTCAGGGGGCTCAGTCCGGGCGACGGCTTTAAATGGTGGAGGAACGTATAGCACCGAGATCCAAGCTGCTTTTGTTATCATATCGTTATTTTTGTTCTCTCTTTATATTACTATTATTTCTATATCTTTTCTGAGACGTCCCGCACTCCAGACCGAGCCCCCTGTATCTGGCCTGGAGAGGAGACATGGGTAAGCAAGGCTTCTATGGTGACCAGATGAGTCTTGGCTCACTGACATTAATGGATCTACACACAGAAGCAGGAGAGACAAAAGGGAAAAAAAAAAAAAAAGGCAGCAGCAACAACATGTGGGATTTTTTCACAAGACTGACCCAGCGTCCCCCTCGGGGACCGCTGCGAGACAGATGTCAGACATACATCTGCTACTGTTCAGTGCTAGTTTAGGAAAAGTTGAACTCTTTTTTTAAACACACACACACACACACACATATATATATATTCATTTATATATATATATACATACATACACTCATTCATGTATTGCTGCTAGTTTTTTTCATTTCATGTCTGTGGTTCTGTGAATGCCAGCTTGAGTGTTGAGTGAACAGCTCTGCTTATAGCTGTGGCCCCTGAGAGTGAAACAGCAGAGAGACCAGACCATGACAGAAACAAGAGGGGGAAGAAAAAAAAAACAGAGAAAAGGCGCAGGAGGATCAGAACGAGAGAGAGGGTAGAGAGAGAGAGAGAGAGAGAGAGAGGGGAAACAATGAAAAAGCAACGCCTCAACCCAGAGGAAAAAACACACCAAGTGCTCTGGTGCTTACCGACACGAACACACACACGCGCACACACACACACACACACACACATACATACGGTCACTACCAGATATATTAATCTAAAAACCACTAATGAAACAAAAGACAACATAGGAACCAAAAGCAGCACTAAAAGTTGTTTTAAAAAAAATCTAAATTTGGATGAAAATAAATAGAAGACATTTACACACACTGTGAAGTCAAGATTTAACCAGAAAAAGCTGCAAAAAACAAGCCAAACGCAGTGAACCGCTAAGAACGAAACGGCCGTGTGTCATTCTGCTTTGGGAGAGAACAATCCACCGGGGTCGCCGACCCCTCCTCAGTGTTCCATGTGCTGAACTACAAAGCTGACCAACAGTCTGATCCGAAAAATTCTGCATATTCATCCAACGGAAAAACGTCTGCACCAACACACAGGCACAAACGAGAAAAAACAACAAACAAAATTGAAAAAAAAAAAAAAAATCAAATTAAAGGAGCATATGCCGTCATGTCTTCTCCTGGCCGCCCACGCCCACGGCCTTCTCCGCCAGCCGGGCCTTGGGGGCCCCCGGGCCGTGCGGGTCGGCGTGCGCGTGCTGCAGCGCCAGGAAGGGGTTGGCCGCGATGGCGCCGGGGCCCTGGCCCTGGGCGCCGGGCAGCAGGGTGCTGATGGGCAGCTGAGCGGAGGACAGTGGGATGGAGGGGATCTGGCCGGAGGAGGAGAGGGACTGCAGCTGATGGAGGTCCTGCTGCTGCTGCATCAGCTGGTACAGCAGCACCTGCTGCTGGTCCTGGGCCCAGGAGGAGGAGGAGAAACAAACAAAAAAAAGGTGGTTTACGATCGCGCCCACCGGCCCGAAGAGCTCTGGGCGCTGGCTTTAAGTGTGCGTGTGACTCACGGGTCTGACGGCCGGCGGCTGAGAGGCCAGCAGCTGCTGGAGCTGGTGCTGCTGCAGGAGGAGCCGCTGCTGCTCCGGCAGCAGGCCCATCCGGCCCGCGCTGGGAGACAAAACCGCCCCGTCAGTCCGACGCACACACACACACACACACACAGACTGCAGCGCACAGACATGCAACAAATGACGCGTCCGGAGCTGCTGCCCTCTGGACGGTGGTCCCCGTTTTATGGCGGAGACGTGGAGCACAGAACGCCACAGAGAGAAAGAGAAAAAGAGGAAGCACGGCCCCGGCGTCCGCCCATCGCATCGGACAGTAACGCAGCCGGCTGCTGGCTCACCTGCTCTTACCGCCTGCCGGGCCGCTGCTATCCCAACATGGGGGGGGCAAGCGTTAAAGGGATAGGGAAGAAATGAAGCTCAGAGTCTGACAGAAACGGCGGCGTGCGGCGGCGGCGTGCTGCTGGGGAGGGCGGCGTGCCGGCTGATACCTGTTGCAGACGGGCAGCGTGGCGCCCGGCGCTGCCCCCGTGGCGTGCGCGTGGGGGCTGCTGGTGCCCGCCGGCGTTTGGATCACGCCGTTCAGGGCTCCCACGATGCCCCCGATGCCCAGCGTGTTCCCGGCTCCCAGGGCTCCCATCAGCCCCGCCACGCCGCCCAGCCCGCCCGCCGCCCCCCCCACCCCGTTGAGCGCAGGCTGGGGGGGGCTCTGGGAGACGGAGGAGGGGGTGGAGAGCGAGGAGGCGGAGCCGCTGCTGCTGTGGCCGCCGCATGAGGCCGTCTCCTGGGGGCCAGAGATAAAAGCCTGAGAGGACGACACTTGCCCTGGTGGCCGGGGTGATTTAAAGCCACATAAGGCGAGCTGGAAGTGAGGCGCCGTGCCGAGTGTTTCCCTCCTTACCTGAGCTGCCGCAGGTACGGACGAGTCGGCGGCTCCGGGCTGGAACCCCTTAGCATCTGAAGAATGAATGATCACAGGTTTAGATGTGACTAAACTCACCCTGTGTCAAGGGAATAATAAAGAATGGGAAAATAAGAATCCAAGAGGAGGCATTTAAAGTAATTAAGTTTAAAATCCCGTCAGAAAAAAAGATCCTGTTTGACCAACTGTTAAAGCTTTGGACTTAGTCTGAAGTTTAGAGGCAGCTATTGAAGCTATAGAAGAAAATAAGTACAAGAAGCTGAGAGTGATTCAAATTTGGTGGAAAATGCAGAAACAGAGCACCAATAATGAGGTGGGTTTAAGTCACATTTACCTTGAGTTTCAACCACTATCTTTGTGTGTGCGTGTGTGTGGGAGTGTGTTTACCAGAGGAAACGGTCGAGGGCGTGAAAGGCACAGATAGCTGCGCGCTGAGGAGCTGCAGCCTCTCCTTCTTCATGGTCAGAGTTTTAATCTGCTCCTCCAGCCTTCGGTTCTCCTCCTGCAGCTGGTGGAGAGACTTCAGCATGCCCACCACTGACGAAGGGAAGAGAGAGAGACCGGAGAGGGTCACAGGCGGCTGGAACACGACTGGGACTTTAAAACTCAAACCGCCTCCGCCGCGAGGTTGGAGGTCAGCCGGGGCTACGGCGGCAACGACAGCAGACGAGACGAGGACGCGGCTTTATCCAAATACTACTTTGCTTTTTCATCTTCAGACTTTATTGATCCCTGAAGGGATGTTCAGATAAGCAGGCAGCTGCGACAATGACAGATAAAGTCTCTCTAAAGAGGCAGCTGCAGGGGAAGTGGCCAAAGGGCTGAGCGCGGAAGCAAAGGTGTGTGTGCACGGAGTCTGAACCGGTGACGCTTTCGTGCCGGAGCAGGAGTGAATCGAGTGAGAAAAAAGAGCACGTCCACCCGCGTGTGTGTTTGTGTGTGTGTGTGTGTGTGTGTGTGGGATCTCACCGTCTCCCTGAGCTCCCTGCTGCAGCAGGAAGCTCTGCCCCTCGTTCCACTGCCTCTCCAGGAGCTGCTCGATGCTGGTGGCCACCGGGGGCAGCGTCTCCACGCCGCCGCCGCCCCCAGCCCCTAGCAACCCCAGCCCGGGCCCCGGCAACGACCCCGGAGAGTCATAGCGGATCTGCAGGCCACCAATGGGAGAGCTGCGTGGAAGGGGAAGCAGCAAGCATGGACAGAAGAGGAGAGATGGAGAGGTCAATAGGGAGATTAACGACCCAACATAAACGTCAGACAAACATAGACACTGCTGGCTATAAAACTACATCAATTTGTTGTTACAGTGGCCTCTAATGAAAAGAGGCCAGGCTTTCTGTCTGCGCGTGAGAGGCGGAGGGGGGGGCTGGAAGGAGGACGTGCAACGGGGAGAGAGACAGACAGAAAGGCAAGTGCAGCGTCTCGATGTGATAAATCTTAGTGTGCCGAGACAATCTGTTGAGTGTGAAAGAGCGGACATGAGGGCCAGCAGGAGAAAGCAGAGAGGACAGAAACAGAAGTGCACGGTGTGGAGGAAATAGAGAGTTTAGCGCTTTAAAAAGGAATAAATACATCTCAGAAAAAGTCACTGACGTGGTGAAAGCCCCCCTCCACCCCCCCAAAAAAACTCCTTTTTAAAAGGAGCATCGGTGCTGTCATTTCAAACTGTCACTGTGTTTTTATTAAAAAAAAAAAGCAAACTCTAGTTTCAGCCATCAGCAGCCGCTGTCTTAATGGGGAATGTTACCAACGCCGTCAGGTGAAATCACGTATTCCACGACAAGGCAGAAACAAACAAAAATGTGTCCGTGTGGTCGATACTCCCATCCTCAAAGAACCGAGCACATATTCCTGCATGGAAAAGACGTGGTGGATCAGCAGGCTTTGCCTCTACGTGTGATTTAAACCAGCCAGAGAAAAATACGGGAAAAAAAAAAAATCTAACTGGACTTGAAGGATGGTTACCCCCGTCAAAAACAGAAGTTATCGTTGGCTGAGAGAACGAGGATTGCCTGTAGGGGTAAAAGCGAAAGAGAGAGGGTGTGTGTGCGTGTGTGTGTGTGTGAGCGGTGAGAGGAGGAGAGGGGAGACGAGGGGCCAGCGAAGGGAAAAGCAGCAAAAGGGGGGATGGGTGACGCCGGGGGGAGGGAGGGAGGGGGGGGCAGTGAGGAATGTAAATGGTAAAGAAGGGGTGGGAGGGCATGTGAGAGTGTGTGTGTGTGTGCATTCACCGTGGGGTGGTCTTGGGAGAAGCTCTTATGGAGAAGCCCTGAGATCCGACGCCGCCACCGCTGCTGCCGCCGTCTCCCACCTCCTGATCTGCGCACGCAAGAAAAATCAATTGGACATCTAAGAATACGCTACGCCGGGAAATCCAAGCCTCACCCACAGACTTCAGGTCATCTTGTACCAGATCCCTGAACCTCCTCTCTTTCTGGCTAAGCCTCTCTTACCCCCTGATCTGCATTTGAACCCCCCGTTCAGTTGTTCAGATTCACACAGTCCTGCCGTCGGGCCGCACGACTGCTCCTCGATTTCAGCTAAAACCAGCCCTTCTCACGTCCCTTTGACACAATGATACTCTTAAAGAAAAGCCTTAATCGCTGATGCTCATAAAACTTAGTTTCACAGAAAGAAGAGACGAGCATTTATTGATCACCAGGAGGAGGCAAACTTGGCTTAATTGCAGCCTCAGCTTAAAAGGGACAAAAAGACGCCCTCTTAACCCAGATGTTGATGGATGTTGGAAACCGGGTCCTCTTGGAGAGCTCAAACTTGCTCGGCACCCCATTTACAAACGCTGTGACAACCTTAAGTCGATGACGTCTGAAAAATGTGATGAAAAATGACAGGCTCACTTTGATCTCAGCTGTAAAACACGCTCAGACACAAAGGGATGACATCACCTGACAGACTCTTTTGGGGCCGATCGTGCCGAGGACATGCTCAGTTTGGAGCTCTTTCAACAGGAGGCCCAAACAGATATAATTCTTTAAAAACTGTTGTTGAGCGCACCGATTTGAGATAAAGATTTGAAGCGTTGCTTCCAGGCCGGCAGCGCTATGCTGCAAAGGCTCTGTTAGCTGGTCCAGACTTTGACGCGCAGCTGCCGTTTCTGAATGACAGAAACAACAGTAGGAGGATATTAGATTCTGTCATTAAAATGGGCTGCGATGCTTATTAAAGTGGATTTACTCCCTCCAAAACTCGTCCTTTCTCTTCCTCCCTTTCTCACACGAGCCGTCATTCAAACTGCATGTGCTTCCCTCTCCGCCTTCTGCGGGTCTCCGTCTCTCCTCCCTCTGGGCCCCCGGCCAGACGCTTCTTTTCATTTTCCTCAGTGAGAGTAATGAATCGCACATGCACACACACTTCTGCATTTACACACTCGTGCAAACTCCCTTCTACTTAAGACGGTCAATCCCAGCTTTTACCCCCGCCAGGTTGCCACTCTGGTCCCGTCTTTTTTTCCTTTTTTTTTCTCTCTAATGTCGCGGCCCACTCTGTCCTGGCACCTCCCTCCAGACGGTCAAAAGCAGGAGAGGAGAGGGCAGCCAAAGCAAACAGGCCGCGTGCTCACAAACACGCTGCGCGCTGGAGCTGCTGGGTTTCTTTACCAGACGACAAACAAAAGTTCTTTCTCACACATGCGTCACGTGATGGCGTTCATCATAAATGATGTTTTTTTTTTTTTTTAATCTGCAACTGTTAGCTGTAGTAGACACAGAGAAGAACAGCCAGACTGACGGGGTTAATCTACTAGATTGATATCTAGAATGGTTAACTTGTGTTTATTAAGTAAAAGATTTTCCAAATAAAAAATAGCTCTACCTAGCTATTACTCTAATAATTAGCCTGTTTTCCCAGGGTCTGGTGCTACTACTGAGTCATCAATAATGTGGTTGAACGGGTCATTTGGGGACACGAGCGTCGCACATCTAAATATCAAGAAAAGTATTGAAGAAAAGTAGGTTCACTCAATGATTTTTAAAGTGCTTGATCATTTTAAAAAGACTGAACCTTCACAAGGAAAATTCTGGATTTTTGGAATTGTCAGCATTAGCTGAATAATTTTTACCACGGCAGAGCTCACGCTTGTCAGAAATTCTGCAACACAAATTCAACCGAATGGTAAAAACTTTTGATATTTTACAAAAACAATGTAAGAGAGGTTGACACCGTCTGTGAACAATTCATAGAGATCAATCGCTTCTTTTTCAGGAAATAGACAAAGCTTTGTTGAGCCTACACAGAGACTGCTCAGTCTCCACACATGTGCACACACACGCACACACACACACTCCCGGAGCCTGGTGCCCCCCTGACATTCAGCCTGATTAGTGAGCTGACCTGCAGGTCAGGGTGGATCTGGCTCTGATGACTGCTGACCGGCAGCAGGAACCACTTCCTCATCTTCACTTTATGCCTCTTCCTCTCTTACCAACCAGATGTCTTGCATCAGGAAGTGACTTTTTTCTTTTCTTTTAAATGTTCTTTTTGACACGTCTTGAAGGCCACTTTTCGCTCCCCCCTCTGCGCTACAGCGTAACTTTCTGTTGAACAGGAGCCCCCCCCCGGGGCCCCCCCCCTTTTTGTTTTTTTTTTTTTTTTTTTTTCAAGCATCATTCTGCGTACAGGACTCTTGTCTCCATCAGTCGCACACACAGAGACACACACACACACACACACACACAAGTGTGAATGAAGAAGACGGTAAGAGAAACAAGGAAGCTGTGCAACTGGAGCCGGGTGGGAGGGGTTTAAGGCTATCGCTGACCCTTGACCTCTCTGAGGGATCATGGGGGGGGGCATGAGCCATCCATTATCTTCTTCTCTTTCACACACACACACACACACACACACACACTGGGGATGTTGCAGTACCTGCTGGTGAGGCCTCTGACTGAGCGATGAGTGCCGCCATGGTCGAGTTGGGGTTGAGTCTGTTGCCGAACATGTGTGGGGGGGCCAGGTTGAAGACTGAGCCCGGAAGACCGCTCACCTGAGAGAGGGGGGGCACAGATGGAGAAGAAGCCAGATGAAGCCGTGCTTTGCTGCCAATGCAATCTTTGCCATGCTCACTTTAATGGGATTCATTTAGGGGAGAAACACACACTTAGGACGTGGGGGCACATGTGTGTGTGTGAAGGCTGTCCCTTCAGCAGTGCATTTAGAGGAGCATTTAAAAAGAAAACTAATTTTGTAACACTATGCTGTAGACGTTTTGTCAAATATAGCCTAAAGCCTTACTGGTTCAATGGTTAACTCGGATTACAGATTTATCTTATTTTTCTTTTATGTTAAAAAAATCTAACACCACAATTTTTTATGACTTACTGACAAATGCTACAAAATACAAAATAACTGAATTTCCAAAGACACAAAAAGGGGAAATTTGAATTTTTTGTAGATTCTGCACAGGTGTTTTACACATTAAGAAAAATTAAATGCTGGAATCTGCTTAAAAGGATTTTATTTTTTGACTACTGAACTGTAAATTAAAACTATTCTAAGCAGTCATAATTGTTTCAGTGCAAATAAGCTATTAGTGTTAACTTAACATGTCCTCAGCAAAGTGGTCTGACCGCTTTGAGTTCAACTACCGAATGTCGTTCGCCCCAAAACACCAACAACATGATCATATTTCAATTAAGCTTGTTTAAAACACAGAAAATGAGTATCTAAATGGGAAGGACAACACTTGACCCATCATTTATGTCCTCATAAAAACATATGAAAACCCTTAAGAGTACATTATGAACCCACAGCTCATTATGCTGTTACACACACACACACACACACACACACACACACACACACACACACGGCTAAGAGTGCGGCGGCATCCCGACAGTACGCTGACATGCTGACAAAGTGTTTCTGATGCATACAGTTTAATCCAATTAAGGCATTTCCCAAATAAGGGCTGTGGTGTGAAGGGTGGGGTGGAGTGAGAGGGAGGACGGTGAGGGTGGAGCACCAGGAGGGGAATCCGCTCCGTCCAAAAGAACAAAATGGCTGACTCCTCAAACTGGTTTAAGTCCTCGTGATTGATAGGATGAGGACGGATGCGTTTTCAGAACTTAAACCAAAAACAGAGGAGCTTCTCCGAGCGTGTTTTCTACAGCCTCAGGAGTTTCCCTCAACACATCTTTAAATTCTCACTGAGCTGCACGGGCTATAAAAGAAATTAATAAAAAGGAAAAGGATCCAATAAGTAAAATTAAAAAAAGAAAAAAAATTTCCCACCACTATTCAAAATTAAATGTAAAGGGGAAATCTGCTCAGAAACTACTTCAGATTTCTCTCTTCATGTCTCCACTGCCCCCTCCCCTCAGTGCTGTAATCCTGCCCCCTTTCCCATCAACATTCATTTTTCATTTACATTCATTTTTCATTAAAGTCTCTCACACGGTCCCTTTTTTTCTGTACTGGGCTGATGGCCAATAACAGAAGGCCAAGAGCCTGCTAGCAGACCGAAAATAGCAAATGGCCCGTCTTTCTATCTCAAACACACACACACACATTCAGAGGGAAGCCTGTTGTTGGCATCCTTCTGCAGTTGTATAATTTCTGCAGACTCAATTCAAAGTCTGTGTGTGTCCCAGAGGCTCAGAGGCCAGCATCTCCCTTTGCTAACTAACACACGCTTTTTTAACAAATCTGAGGGACAAACAAATCTTTCTCTTTTAGTCACCGTCTCTAACACAAACACACACACCTCAAGTCCTCTAAAACATGTGACTGAGAGGAGAGGAGCAGAGCGAGATGATGGCCAGGACGGAGGACTGGAAGCAGGAGTGAAAACACTCCGGACACACACGCACACAGCCACCCCGACCCCTCCCTCCCACCATCTATCGCTCCATCCCCACTGTGGTGCTTGTCAGATGTCATTACATCAGAGGACAACGAACGGGGAAAAAAAAAAAAGAAAGAAGAGAAATGGAGGGGGACAGAGAGGAGGAAGGTCGGGGGTGAGAGAAAGTGTGTGTGAGAGAGAGGGAGGGAAAGAAAGCAAAAGAAAGGTGGCGAGTGGACGGGAAAGACGAATAGAGCTGGGTGGACAGAGACAGAGCGCAGTGTTTGGGGAGGTTTTAAAACATTGGACACTCTGGGGTCAGGCAGAGAGATGGAGGTCTTTTCTTTTTGGTTGGTCACATTGGACTTAATGGCCTGGAAACGAGATATAAACTTACATAAGACGGTGCTGCGCAGCAGCTCCTCTCAGTAAGAGACGCATTAAACTAAGACCTTTGGCGGTGTTTAACCGCAGCGTTTACATTAGAGTTCTTTTTATTTTCTCCAGCTCGTAAAGAAAATAAAATCCGTTCTCAAACTTTTCCACAAACAGCAGCCTTCCTCAAATGTGCAGCCTGAAAAACAGGCAGCGCAATAAAGGCAGGCGTGTAAAATAAAGCACGCACCGCCGTTTCTCTGGTGATGACTTATCATGGAAAAATATCATCTGGCACATCTGCCTGTGTCGAGTCTCTTTTAGGTGCCCCATACATCCTACAGAGCCGAATGTGTCACGCGCCATCAGAACCTTACTCGGCGGCGGAACCCAAACGCCGGTTTCAGCGCCGGCTTTTCAGCCACAGGCCCGGACTATTGTTGTGTGTTCCATAAAGCAGAGTGACCGGCCACAGGATGGCCCGGCCGTCAGACCCGGCGGGCCATGCTTTGAGAAACAGAGACACACTCCGCACAAGTTCAGAACACACACACGTTTCACAGATAATTACGGTGCGGTGGATTAATAACGGTGCCGAGGGATGCGGTGCAGACGATGTTTAATTAGTGCGCTTTGTTTGTGCTCCCACAATTTCTCTGCACTTGAGCTCAAAGACGTGGGAGAACTGACAGATTCGGAGGCTTCCGAAAGAGGAGTGTGTGTGTGTGTTTGCTTTCCTGGAAAAGAGAGAGCTGGAAAGGGAGGTGGATTTTGCGTGTGTTGCTCCATGCTTGTGCGCGCGAGGAGCGGGAGAGTGTGGGTGGGGTGAGGGTGGGGGCACCAAGTTTCCAGAGCATGTAGCGTGGTCCGACTCACGTGTGTGGAGGCTGTGCTGCTCAGCGGCGCCGTGGCAGTGAACGGAGAGGGAGGGGCCAGGGAAGGCGTGGGCTGCTGTTGCTGGGACAACTCGGCGCTGGCCCCGCCCATGGCGACGGCTCCCGTCCCTGACGATGACCCGTCGGCAACAGAGAAGACACCTGTGGAGGGATGGGCATTAGCGGTATTACTTCAGGAGCTCGGGCCGCCCGGCTAAATATGACACCGACAATTTGAGGAAAATGCCGACTCCTGGGGGGGTGGGGGGCTTTTATGATGATTAAAACCAGAGCAGAACTCCGCCGCCGATGATTTTAGAAACACCTGGGTGTCTCCAACAACGACAAGTCCAGGGCTGCATGTCGCCGCCGCAATAAAACTTCACGAGTCCTGCTGTTTGGCAGCGACGTTCTTTGTAAAACTGTGTCCCTCCCTGGCCCCCCCCCCCCCCACACACACACACACACCACGGCAAAACACACTGTAACCACCACACATCTTTTACCAAAAAATAATCAGGGCCAGACCAAGTGAAATGTTATCTTGCGCCGATAATGTGAGAAACCCTCGCAGACTGTTGACTGTTGAGCAAAGATTAAAGGATTAGATCTTCAAGAAGGCGCTGATCTACTCCCTCATACTTCTGCTTGATAAAGTCGATACAACAGATGGTTAAGCATGCGGGATTGCCCGAAAACACAATCAGCTTCTTATTTCTTTTTTTTCTTTGGATTAGAGATGCTAAAACTTAAATTTAATTGAACGCATGGGACAAATTGATCACATTTATAGTTTAGCAACCTCAATGTATTCCTTCTACCTTATGGCAACTCCTTACAAAACGAATGTTGCAAAGAATAAAAATAAAGGATTCCATAATTGGAATTCACACACGCATAATGATCCAGTTTCACACACCCGTACGCATGCTCCATTTTCTAATGTCTTCCCTCTCCCACTTCCTCCCCTCACACACCCCTATGTTCGCCCACTAACTAGGGATAAGCCCTGCCCCTGCCCCCCTTTGACCCCAGCGGAGGAAAGGGTGGGGGGGGCTGGAGAGAGAGGGCCCCTCGGCCCCACAAAAGCCTGAATGGCTCAGGGCAGCACACATTCACTGGGGGAACAAGAGATCTTTGTGCCAGGAGGGGAGGGGTGGAGGGGGGGGAGAGGGCAATAGATACGAACACTACATGGGCCGACATACTATTTATAACGCTTTGCAAAATGCAGCAGAAAAATTGATACCCAAAGCAGGGCTGCCGAGGCTCAGGGGGGGCATGTGATCCGGCGAGGTTTTCAACAGCTGGATTAGAGGCCAAACCAACAATTTATCAGTTTAGCTAATTCTTTTGATTAAATGGGTTTCACACAAAGGGATGGAAGAAAAAAAAAACACACACACACAAGGTCTGGAAAATACCAAGGGGGTTAGAAAAAAAAAGAGATATTTTACAGGATTTAAATTAGACTGAAGAAAAAAAAAACCAGAGTGTTAAAAATGGGAAAATGAAAATGAAGGCCGATTTTGGGTTTGCCTGCTTCTCACATTTTGGCTGATTGTTGTTGATGACTTAAAAAAAAGCTAAAAAGAATTTAGGATTTTATTTCAACAAAAGAAATAAGAGCATAAAATCATTACAGCCATTATTTAAAAAACTAAATATTGGCTAGTATTAATGATTTGTTTGCAACACCTGAAGTGTACATTTACAGCACCACAAATTATTTATTTTGAACATTTTCAGGGTGAAGGTAAAAAGGTGCTGTCAATTCCAAACCTGAATAAAACTAAACGACGCGCAGGCAAAAAGTTCAAAGAATGAAACTAACAGAAGGAGGCGCATAAATTTCAGAGCCAGCGGGGTTGTTTTTCATGCTGAAGGACTGCTGTCTAACTAATAAGTGTTGTCTGTATTTGCATTCATTGAAAAAAGCTGAGAAGAGCTCTTTAATTAGTCTACAATGTTTGCGTTTTGGTTCTGCATTCTGCGGATAATCAAATGTCCACCACCATGACGGAAGGACAGAGAAAGACAAAAATACATATAAGAAAAAATAATTGAACATTCCGCACACACACCTCTAACACACAAGCCCCGGCGTGTAAAAGCTATAACCTATTTGCGTGATCAATATTGTAAAGCCCCCGAAGCACAACAGCCTCCATGACTAAACCCTCTTCCTTTTCCCTTCCAAGCTCGATATGCCTGTAAGCTTAAAAAATATCCACTTTTATTGGTTCAAGCTGCAACTATCCTAAGAAGGAATCTATGATCTCTGTTTAGAGCAGTTTGAGTCCAATGTCAAACTAAACAAAAGGTACGGCACCCAAATCCTGCATCAACAAAAAATCTGTGTTTTCACTTTTTACAAATTGTAGCTGAATAAAATCTTGGTTTTAAAATGAGTGTAGCAAAAGAATTAAACACACACACACACACAGCAGGTACCATCACGATAACAAAACTATTTATTCTATTGTGAGTATCTTCCACCACTTAAGACAAAAAAAAGGAAAACATTTAGAGTCAAAATAAGGGACGTCAAAGTGAAAGTGTGTGTGTCTGTTTGTGTGTGTGTGAGAAGCAGAATGGGGTTTGTTACACAATCCTCATCAGGGCAGGACAGAAAACCAAATATCAGAGGCCCAGCATTTAAAAAAAGAAGAAGAAGAAAAAACAGTTCAAACTAAAACTGGAATCAATACACTACGGTAGATTCCAAGTAAAAAGAGCCTTTCTACTTTTCTACTGTGTGCATCTGTCTATCTAAAAATATTACTTTCCTATGGATGAACCGCCAGTCTCCTAAAAATATTTAAAAGTTTGACCTGCAGCAGCAAATGCCCAAAATAAAATAAAAACACCTATAAAGTTCAAATAAAATCTAATGAACAAAAAAAAATGTTTTTTATATCTCAGTCACCACGGATCGGGAGGGGAATTTATTTATCTGACAGACTTCCCAGCTTCGTGTTTGATTTGATATTTAAAGAAAATCCTTGTTTACAGAAATTCCGTCTCGTTTTTACAACTTCCCCTCACATGTGCTTTGTGTAAAGAGCACGAGTCCAAGCTGCTGCTGATTATGAGAAAATCTACAGGGATTAAGTCATACAGTTAAATATGTGACCACTTAAATGAGCTAATAAATACAGAAATACGCTAACCAATGCAATAACTATCCCCCCTCCCCATGTTTGCTTTCTCATCTTTTCAAACTCCTTCAGTCCAGCTGCCCCTAATAAATCCACCTCCACCCCACATCCTCCCTCCCCCACACCAAACCGTCCCGCCGGTAACCCCACGGCCATCAAACATTAACCTAGCCAAAATCTAACCCCGTGCTTCTCTCCGTCCACAAACAGTTATCTATCAGGCTGGCAATCCATCCATCAGCGCAGCCGGGCCAGCAGCCTGGATAAAAGGGAGAGATAAATACCAGAATCCTTCCCACTACTGCACTGCATTAACCCTGCTAAATATTTACAGTAGGAAGAAGAAGAACACTCGATTACCTTGGGTCTTGGGCACAAAAAACACATAAATGATGCTCGGCCCTACCTACCATCATCATTTTCCTAGATCTTTTTTCAGAAGCTATGGTATTGAGAAAGGCACCACTTTTTTTAAGGAAATGCACAAATAAATGTTATTTAATGGGGGAAAAAAACGCCTGGACGTGGATCTGCAAACAAAACTGCCCTCAGCTAAAAGTAATAACGCAACCATTTTGCCTGTGTGACACACCAACTCCTAATAAATGCTTTCCAAAATATAAAATCAGCCAATCACATATTGGGAAGTGCAACACAGGATCAAACTTTATGGAGAAAAACTAAACGTCAATTAAAAATTATTTTAATGCTTATTATAAACTATACTCAAAACAACAAACATTCTCACACACACACACACACACACACACACACACATATATTAGGATACACTCATACATTACTGTTTTTCTATTTTCACGAAAGCAAGTTAAAACGGCAGCCCCAAAAAGAGAAAGATGAAAGCAAAAAAAAAAAACCTTTCAGAAGTTAAAAGAAATTCTACATTCTATTTGACAGCCTCACCAAGAAGCACCCCCACACACACACACACACATTCCCAAACGTGACTGGAGGAGCAGGCCGACAGCTGGCGTAAAGACAGTGTACAACAGCACCAGCATAGATGGGTCCTACCTGTAAACACTGAAGGCTGCATAAACATGACACACTTTCATACCTTCTTAAATTACAGTGAATTCACCACTTAAAACACACACAGAGGCCTGTGATCATGTCTTTCGAAACTACGGATTTCAGGAAAACCAACATATTTCCTACAGATTATTTGCCTTCTGTGGATGCTGGATCAGACCCATCAATGATAAGTGGTGCTGTCTGCTATCATTTCATTACTGCTAAAGGTTAAAAGCCTGGGTCATGTAACACTTGATATGAAAAGCACTACTGAAAATGAATCATGATTTTGAAGCAGGGTCATTATAAATAGACTTCTTTACCAATGAAGCATTAGAAAAATAACCTGTGGATATGAGGTTTATATTTGCTTTCCTATAATCGTGTTTATGTACATACTGTCTTCAAATGCATTTATTATCACCCTTTTTTAAGCTGTGTAAAATGTCAACAGACCAGCAAAGACCTGAGGAATGAGCAGGAGGCAGGAAAAGCAAAAAGCTGCAGGGAAGAGCAGAAAAGGTGATGATTCCGGGCAGAAAAGGGGGGATATGTGAGAAATGTGGACTGTGCTCAGCTACTTCCATAAGCAGAAGGGAACTCCAATGCATAAGACAGTTGCCAAGCAACTAAAGACAATGGGGGAAAAAAAACCCACACACAGACCTCATCCACCTGTGTGCATTAGAGTCTTTTCACAAATGACTTTTCAGCTGGGGTGCCTTTGTTGTGATTTTTAAAGTACTCAGAGAGGGGGCATGTTAGTTGATCTGCCACCGACACACAAGGAGGGAGAAACAGGGTGAGAGGGGCTACGTGTGCAAAGACACGGCTCACGGAACACCCCCAGCAATCAGCTGATTCCACAATCAGCACAAACTGATGTGGGGCTGACCTGACTGGCAGGTATGAATTATGGAAGACCAAAAAAAAAAAAGTGAGCCGGTAATCCATAACCACTGTTTGTTTGTTTTTTAAAGGACCATACACACACACACACACACACGCAAGGTTTGAATGTAATGTTAAGATTCTCAGAGGCAAACAAGCTGTTTCATTCCTTGACACTCAGACTAAGAAGCGGAGTCTGAAAAACAGCTTCTGTTACCATCAAGAGCTTGCTCCCCTGCTATCGCTATAATGACACCGTGGAGGGCCCGATGAGGTCCAACGGGTGAATGAATTAATTCAGCTCAGCTCCTTATTAGCCGACAAAGAATTTTCATAATTATTCTCCGTTTGTTTCTCTGCTGTAAATCTGTCCTGAGAATTTCCTACACTGAGGTGTCCTTTACAGACTTCTGAGTGAGCGCCTCTCACTCTGAGACTCTGAGACTCCACTTGGTGGAGCGCTGCAGTGCAGTGTGTCTGCGTCCGCTCACCTGAGCCAGTGGTCGCGGAGCTGCTGTTCGTCTGCAGACCTCCGTTCCTGAGGAGCGACGGGGACTTTTGAATCCCGCCGCCAACACCCATGACCCCCATCCCCCTCTCTCCTCCTCCCATCCCCACTCCTAATCCGCTGCTGGAGACCAAGCCGGGCCGGCCCGAGAGCGTGGAGGACACGGAGGAGGAAGAGGAGGCGGTGGAGGAGGAGGAGGTGCTGGCTGTGGATGAAGTGGGGAGGGTCAGGGATGGAGCTGGCTCAGAGGGCTTCACGTCCGTGGTGAAGCAGGGTCCGAATCTGTTTCGCCAGTTGCCCTTTTTCTTCTTCTTCACTCCGTCCTCCCCTCCTCCTGAGGCAGCTGCTCCACCAATCCCCAGTCCTGAACTGGACGGCTGAGGCCGCTTGTAGCCAGTGGACCCAACAAGTCCTGTTGTCTCACTGGCTGTGTGACTGTGGGAGTTCTCATAGAGCTTTCCACCCACTAGAAGAAAGAGCAGAGCCAACACGTAATTATGAAACCTTTAAAAATGGTCACCCCCCCCCCGCCTTAAACTTTAAAACAAACACTGCTTTATTGAAAGGATCAGCGAAAAGAACTGAATGAGTTAAAAACAATACAAAATGGTGGTACCTGCAGAAGCTGCAGAAGCAGACATGAGAGAACCAAACAGAGTCGCAGATCCTTCTGAAGCTCCGCCTTCAGAGCTCGGCTTCACAAGGCAGCTGCTGAAAGACGGCGGTGAGGAGAAAGTAGTGCCGCCGCCTGGACGCAACGAAGAATCGGAGAAACTTAAGAAGTCTGAGGAGGAAGGGGCAGAGGGTGTCTTGCTGGCACTGGTAAGCAGCAGGCCTGGGAGGAAAAAAAAACAGAACCAGAATGCGGGAGGAGAAGCGGAGTGGTGAGGAGGAAAAGAAGATGAGTGAGAAGAGAGAAGAAGTCCCCAATGAAAAAACGCATATCACAGCCAGGAAAATGTCCACAATAGTCTTTTGGGAGGTACGAGATAAGAGCAATAGGCAATTTATCTACCCTTGAACTCTATCTACTGAATGGTCTGGGTTTGCCCATCTAATCATCTCGTCCTATGCATCACAGGAAGGGTGTGTTAGACAGGTTTCAAGGCCTCAACGTATCAAAACACAGGAGTTCCGTCTGAACACCCTCTTTGAGCTCCCCCTCCCCGCGTGCTCTCCCTGCCTGCGTTTTCCAGACAGCCCCGCAGATTACAGAAGCCAGTCAAGACAAAACAGTGTTATCGGAGGCCACACGCACAAACAAACACACACACAGATACACAGGAGCTAGAGCAGGATCCAGCACTTATGAGTGCGTCCACAAGTCACATGACTGGCCCTCCTTTGTGCTTTAACCCCGCTGCTGCTCCGGCCGTTTTGGACGGGCAGATTGGTGAGAGGGCATTTCCATTTTTCTAACTGGGAGCTTATTTCCCAGCGGCGGGGGAAATTAACATACAGGCACAACTCGCCGCCATCAGTTCACCTTGGTGGAAAGGCCCCGTGGAAGCGGATGCAGACGTGGAGGAGGTTGCCATGGTGACCACGGCGGAGGAGAGGGGTTTCCCTGAGGAGGTGAGCGACTTGCGGCCGCCCCGCTGACCGACGGCGTGGCCCCCGCCGCCGCTCTTCTTGCTCTTCGCCTCGGTGGCGGCCTTGGCCGCGTCGGCGCCCAGCGCCTCCTTGGAGCTGCCGCCCGGGTGGGCCGACGAGACCTCCTGAAAGTTGGCGTTGGTGAAACGGCCGCCGTTATCGTCCAATCGCTTCTGCGAGGACGCCGGAAGAGAGGCGACGCCTCCCCCCGCGCTGCCGCTGTTGTAGTTCTGCAGGAGGAATGCGAAAGGAGGGAAAAAATTACAACGGGGAAGGAAAAAGGGAAGATTGAAAGAAAAAGGGAGTGCAGGAATCGTGGGATGCACCGGAACAGGGGAGGAAAATTCTCAAAACAACGCCAGTTTGGGAGAGAGTGAGAGAGAGAGAGAGAGAAAAAACTAGGAGAAAGGTCAGAGGGAGGACGGAATGTAGAAACGATACGGAAAAACAACACAGGTGTACCACAGATAAAGCCATACAAAAAGCCCACACCTTGTCTGGCACCATGATGTTGGGGAGGACGAGTGAGGGCGACATGTCCATTGAGGTTTTCTTGTGTTTTGGTTTGTGCCTGTCCCGCTCCTTGTGTTTCTGAACATGCAGAGTAAAGAGACACACAGAAAGAGAAAACCAATAAACGAGGCCGTTTAACATGACTGTACAGATGAGAGGAGTAAAAACTAATGGAACTGGAAAGCTGAACATGAAGACACTGGGGGGACCGTGTGCTCAAGTACTGTGGGGGAGAGAACAGCTACAAAGACGTCAAAATAAAAAGAAACTGTTGCCTGAGTAGTTGGACTATAAGCCCAGAAAAGAGTGTGTGTGTATCTGATTGAGGGGAGGAAAGAAAGAGGGAACGCTGCATTTCAAAGGCCCAATCTGAGATTAAAGCCTGGAGGTCTACAAAAACAAAGACGGTAATGGAATAGTGAAAAGGGGGCTGGGGGGGAAGCAGGAATTTAGCATTCTGCTGTGTAGAGAAAAGTGCATCTAAGTGCCCTGTGCTGAAGCACTCAGGGCCTTGTCATTTCATCCAATCATATCACTCCACTTGGACCATCAAAGCTCAATTTACACCCTCGCCATCTTTCTCACACGCGTAGCCGCGTTCCTCTCTCACCCGAGATGGCGAATGGGTGCCAGTGCATTTGCACCTCACGTGCACACCCCGCGCTCCGACACCTCTCCGTGCCTTAGTGTGTGTGTGTGTGTGTGTGTGTGTGTGTGTGCGTGTGTGTGAGCGGGCAGGTGCTCTCGCTCTTTAAGCGCACACTTGCGCGCGCGCAGCCCTGCTCCCGCGCGAAAATTGGTGGTGAAAATATGCAATGATCCAGAAAGAGTACATGAGACTCAACATGCCTGTGAGGTTCAGTGTCATGACAGCCACGAAACACCATTGTGAGAGGGAAAAAAAGGAAAAAGGAAAAAAAAAAAAAAAGACTCCTCCTTTTGCCATTGCTGGGGGCTTGCGACAGTTAGGCCAGACTTCCGCTGTGAGTGGCGGTTAACAGACACCAGCAGCCTAATCAGGTGAGAGCAGCTCCACTGTGTCCGCCGGCTTCTGGGGCTAAGGGTTAGGCCCACGTGTCTGCATTTGAATCTTAAAAATTAAACAAAAGCAGCCCTTTTCCTTTATGTAACGGCTGCTCTTTTCATATTTCACTGAAACCTCTTCTTACACCGCAAACAATATGCTGAATAAATACTGATTATCCACTAAATTGTCTCCCATTGGAAATAGAAGTGTGTTTACCTACAGGGTGCCATATTCACAGTAACTACCAATTTCTCCCTGGGGACGTTTGACAAGGCTCAGGGGGTGTAATTAAATTACACGTACAGGCTGTTTTGCACAACAATTTTTTTTCATAATCACGACACAGCATTCTGAGACACTTATGCTAATTCGTTCACTTGTGACTGGACCCCAGAGGTAAAGACGACACAGTGGTACTGAAAGTGGGCCGTCCTTCTTATCTTGTAGCAGGAGCCTGGTACCCACACTCATAAATGCATCCAAGTACACTTTTCTATTAACGCCAACTGGAGCCAAAGCTGCCAAATACTCAACAATAATGCCAAATCACCTGACAAGGAACAGAGTCCGAATTTAAAAAACACATTCCACCATGAAAACCACATGTTAGTGAGCATTACTGGGGTTTTTTATTTGTGTAAAAACAGACGTAGCTGTTAGCTTTCCGAATCATTATGCAGAATTACTGCAATCAAATAATCTTTGCATGCTTGGGGAAATTGGCAGAGAAAATTCTTTTGAGGCTTTTTGTTCAATAACATGTTCAAAATGTGCAGATCTACTTTAAAAACTGCTATAATTTTTTCCAAACGTCCAAAAAGCTGACTGGGGCAAAGGCACACCTCAGATTTCTTTTCTTCTCTCCCCCAAACAAAGAAAGCAAAGGAAGTTTTTAAGACTTGGCTGAAACAAAAAGAAGTTCAGGTAACAGGGAGGGAGAGTGACAGACACAGAGGTAAAGTCTTTGGGCTTCCCTTGTTGTTTTTCATTAACATTCCAAAGGTAGGTGTTGATGGACTGAAGCTGAGCTGAGAGGGTCGGATAACACATCACACACACTCAACACAACCTACGGGACTGGGCGTGGGAAACACAACACACACAAACAATAAAAGCCTGACACAGCCTTATCAATCAGGCCAATTGATTACACACACACACAGACTCGGCTCCTTTTCTCTTGCTGCTCATGCCTGCTCTGATCATTTGACTTGTCAATGGGGTCTTTGAGACTGTGTGGGGTAAATATGAGAGGAGGCAGATAAGGACACCGCCATCCATTCATCAAGCTCCCTCACGGCGAGCAGTTCAACAGTGGGTTTAAATCCTCCAAAGCGGAAAGAGAGAAACTTACTTCCAAGATTTCAATCCTTTGCCTTGTGGACATCTCTTCGCAGAGATCTATCCCTTTTATTCTGTATGTGGACAAAAACTAAAGCCAATGACACTAAATTCAGATATTCAAGTCATGTTTTGTTTTGTTGTGTTTTTTTGCTGAATCGGCCAATATATGAACTAAATGCTCCACTGATACCATTAAAGACCCCAAAAGGATGCATACATACTATTTGTTCCAAAACTAAAACAAAGAATTCTGGGTTGAAAATCATTTCAAATCTGAAATCAATGTCTCCACCCAGTAGTAAAGAGGAGCGGCAGAAATTTTACAAAGCCATGGTGCTGAATAATTCAACACTGCTCAGATCCATGACCGTTTACCCCACTGACCCCCTTCGTTTCATGCTCCACAAACCACCACCTCAACACAGCCTCTGATTGGCTATCACTAGTTACTTAGTTATGGCTACAGTTAGATTGTTAGTTAGCTGGTTAGGGATAAACATGAATGCTGAGATCTAAGCCAATCCGAGGCTATGTCTATGTGGAATGCCAGTGGGGGTGGGGGGTGGGGGTGGGGGGGGGGTATAGTTCAAAGTCCAGCAGACTGCAGGGCACAGAGGCGGTGCCCCCACAAAAACGCACTCTAAGCTTCCTGTGTAGTTTTGTTACATTTGATGCACAGATGTGCCGACAATAGGTGCAGACAATTAAAAGGAAAGCAGAATCACATTTGGGAGGAGTAAATTGAACTAAACTGACATTTGAACTGGATTCATAGCAGGTTATTGTGCTCCTTTTTGCTGTAACATTCATTAACATCCAGTCCGATGGATTCTTAGTTGATTCTAATACGTCGCTTGACGGCAAATTCTTTCAGCAACAATAAAAAGACAGCATTGTGTCAGACAACTCAGATTTTTAAATGCTCCTCTGTTCAGTTCAGAAGCCTCAGGAGGACCAGGGGGCATGTGTGGTGGGGTGCAGATAGAGAAGGAAAAGCAGGGGAAGACTTGTGGAAAGGGAGGAACAGGAAGTAAAGGAAAAAATAATCCACCCAAGTCTGGCAGGAATTCCTCTCTGTAGCTTCCTGCAGGATTTCTGCTCAGCTATTGTGTGTATGTGTGGACATGTGTGTTTCCTGCGGGCCGTTCCTCAGCAACCGGTGTGGAGGATCTTTAAGACCCAGCTGTAGGTTGGCTGCAGGCTCTAAAACAAAGTGGGTAAACGTCTGAGCCCTCAAACCAAACAGCAAATGTGCAGAGAGGCAAACAAGTACACACTAATTTGAACCTCCTGATCTCTGACCCGGGAACGGGGGATGAAGAGGAGGGGGGATACCTTAACCCTTATCAGGAAGGATAATAACACCGTCATGTTCCACTGGTAGCAGCATAAATCGACAAATACACGCAAACACTCATCCTGATGCTCGCACTGTCAGGAACAATGACCAAACAGAAAATATATGTACAACCGCTTATTCTGAATGAATAAATAAATGAGCATGATATAAAACCGGATATCTTATTTGTGCTTTTCTGACATAATTCTCAAAGGATAAAGAGCTTTTTGGTACAATATGACTTGGAGAAATCCTAAATCAGATGAAGCTAACAACCAATACCACCACCAGTCATCTCGCATCACTATTTGGTTCATTTACACTCTTTCTGGGGATAACTAAATAGTAAGGATGGATGTCCAAGCAGGATCAAAGTACAGTCGACGTGATGCGGGTTTCAACTAACTGCAGGGAATCGGGGGTGGGGGAAATGTGGTGCGAGCTGTCCTTTGCTGTGAACACAACAGAGGAGTGGAACAGATCATTTGCCACGTCTTGTAAATTCAGATTTCACACAGCCTGTGATTACACGTTCGACTAACAGGCGAGACATATTAAGTCACACTAATGCAGCATTCGTTTAAGGTAGCAATAGCAGGTGGGCTGGGGCCATACAAGCAGGCAGACGTAAATCCAAACCCCACAGCAGCTGCGGGCTCTACGAAATACCCAATATACTGCTCGTTTGGACTTTAAATTTGTGAATTAAGACACTTGAATCAATTCTGAGATTGGAGAAATCGTTTGTTTTATTCTGCCAAGCTACCATGCTTAAACTGTAAAAGATAAATCTATAAAAACTGCTAAAACTGCATTGAAGAGATTATTTTTAAATACATTGTTTTCAACTAAAATCAACCCACTCAAAAAGGATGTTTGGAACTAAAGTTGGACCTTTTCCAGCTAAATAGATAGAATAGGACTGAGAAACCTAAAAACTTAAAATCCCTCATCTGTTTTGTTTTTTTCACATCTGCCTGTCCCTCCACAGTGTGAGCATGTAGGTGTGTGTTTCTGGTGGAGTCACAGTCGTGGGTGGGAGGCATAGAGAAGGACAAGATCAGAGGGCTGTCTTACCTTCTTGTCCTGGTCTGGGGGTCTATCCATACACTGAGAGGAAGAGTCACTTAAGCTTTGAGACCTACTACCACGGCCCCTGCTCCTTCGCTAAAAAGTAAAGAGGAACTCCAAGTTACTGGATGGAAGTCCACAGAAAGAGGGCTAAACGTTGACTTAATATAAAAAAAGAAAACACTTAAACTAAAAAAAGAAAAGAAAAAAATAAGGCCGACTTAACTCAGGCATAACTGAAATATCATGAGTCAAAAAACAATCATGAGCTTTGATCACAAAAGTGGTAACTGTTGAGGGGTAAAAAAAACCCATCATGGCAGTTTGTAGATGAAAAAAGGAAAAGGCCCTCCCTTTGTGACCAAATATAACCTTTAGGCAAGGTCAATAAAATGGAAAGGACTGAGCAAAATGGTGAAAGCAGCTTTAATACATAAAAAAACAAAACATGAGCTTTAATGTCGTTTCATGAAAACCACCGAAAACAGGACAATTCTTTTAGGTGCTTTAGCTCCTGATGGCCAGCTTCTGTTGCCATGGTGACAGATTATACATCCTAAAACTAAATCCACATTATCATCGCTGAATTAGACTTTTATTCACATACAAATGCTCTAAAAAAGGATGTATAACTGTCATTCTGCTTTAATCAGAAATGCAGAATCCACACATAGGATGCATATATAACCCTCTCAAAAACATTAAGCTACCAACAACCAGTCACCAAGCTTTGGCAGAAAGAACTTGTGGTGACAGTCAGTTAAGGGACTGAGTCTGCCAATCACTCCCCCAGAAGAGGCCCGACAGCCTACATGCTGCTGTTGCAGAGACAAAAAGTCCTGATTGAAGTGATGTGCCCACAGATGTCTTTACCAAACTGAGTAACAAGAGGAAAGCTCTTCATAAGAGGTCTCAAATGAAGTTAGCTGTAGACGAGAACAAAGGAAGACAATCTAAGTTTGAAGCTGCGTTTTCGAATCAAACCCAGTAACAATAAATAAGTAAATAAACCCATATGTTGCTAACATGGCATAAATATCCATGAAGTGGTATTTTATGAAACCAAGTCAGCGAACAGCATTGCTTTCTTCATCATTAATTCCCTCCAGTTCATTCCTGTCACCCACACAGTCCCAGCGTAACCACATTACGCTCCAGCATCCAAAGCAATTCATACCCGATCAATGTAATCAATGGAACAGCGTGAGCCCTTCCATCAGCGTTTGTTAACATCTCAAAGTGGTGCGTGCACGTGTGCTGGTGCACGTCCACACCGTAAAGCCTGTCCCGGATTTCATTCAGCCGTCAGTCCAAAAATGGTAAAAGCTCCGTCACATCCCCGACAGGCACTTTTCTAAAAATCTAAGAAAAGACCAGTTTTGTTTCTGACTGTAGAACACGACAGAGAAAGAGAACCCCGTCCTGCACCACCAAATCCAACACGCTGCGACAGAGGGCACGGCATTTCCAAAGAAGGGAGGATACAAGAATGGAAGGTGCAAATATTGTAGATGGAAAAGCGAGAGATTGGTCGGAAGGACGGATGGATTCATTCACCCAGTGGAAAAGGAAGGTAAGAGGAGCTGCCGGCAGAGAGAGGGAAGTGAAGGAGGTAGGAGGCTGGCTGGAAAAACAAAACTGGCGCAAGAGGAAAAGATGGGAAAACTTGAGCAGAGAGATGTTCGAGATAAAGACGGAGATGAAACTGAAATGGGGATCGTATGTCAGAGAGCAGGGAAGTTGACAGGATGAGCTTCACTGGGTTTGAGGTGAATGGTGGTGTCTGTGTGTTACTGTACCATGATAATCTCTGTTCAAGGTCAGTAACAACAAACAAACAAAACAAAAGAAAACACACAACAAAAAAATGACAATTTCTGCTCGGATGCACGACACCTTTAGCCACACTCATGCGTGTTGTGATGATCACATGCAACAGACCCTTCACAGCATGCATGTGCTGTCATACTTTGAACTAAATAGCATCAATAAATGATTAATATTCTTAGATACGACATTAAATAGGAAGGTTTAAATTTTAAAAAATCCCTTAATTGTCCCCAAATACTGAATGAGCAGGTTGAAGCTACAAACCATGTACAGTTGAGACGGTTTAATTCATCTAGTGTCGGGAGAAGTTGTTTGTTAGTGTGTTAAAGAAGCATGCCATCAATAGAATGTAGGGTTGTCAAAAGTATCGATACTTAAAAAAGTATCGATACTAAAATGTTGTATCCGGATACGATACTCATTTTCAAAAGTATCGATACCACCGCGCGAGCCCGTGCGAGTCCGCGCGAGCTCGCGCAAGCGCGCGCGCGACGCTGACCTGCCGTCGCTGCGCCCCTTCTCTCTGATTTATTTATGTATTTATTTACGTTGTTTATGATCATTAACGTGACGTTAGCCTTGAACTGCTAGCTGCGGCTAATGGCTAATAATAACATGCTACCATTAATCAAGTACATATCCGTCTCAGCCCACATCCAAATCGGCCATTTTGATTACGTCACCAAAAGGGAAATCCCAGGCAAGAAAATAGTAATGCCTCATGGCAATATAGACATTAATTTAAAAATAGTGAAATTAATCTTTCAAACACTTAATTAAACTCTATCCATAATATTATGTTAAAAATAGTGGATGTTAAATAGGTTTGTACAATAAGTCCAAACAAGTTTAACCCCAAAATGGTTTCTCACAATTATGAAAGGTGGAGGGTTAGGGTCAGGGTTAGGGTTAGGGTTAGGGTTAGGGTTAGGGTTAGGGTTAGGGTCAGGGTTAGAGTTAGGATTAGGGTCAGGATTAGGGTAATTAATTCGGGCCACCAGCCACAATAACATCAGTAACAGGTCAGTTTCAAATGAAAGACACTAACCTGTCAAAATTCAGTTAAATTTTGGGGTCTTTGTTTTTATCCTTGTGGTATCGAAAATGGTATCGAGTATCGAGTATTTTCCTGAGTATCGGTATCGAGTTGAAAATTTTAGTATCGTGACAACCCTAATAGAATGTAAGGAGAACAAGACAAAACACTTACCAGTTTGCTGTGGTGGTATTTGCAGTATCCACAGTATTTGACATTGTCTGCGTCTGAGCCTTGCTCCTCGCATAACAAGCCTGCAAACTGGGCACTGTGGAGGGGTCGGGGGGCGGGGGGGGGGGCAGAGAAAGAAAGCAACATATGTTAGAAGCAGCTGAAAGATTCCATCCCATTTCAGTGTGGAACAGCATCTGACTGATGTCATGAATAAATCAATAAAATATCTTTTCAGTGTCTGAGTTAATCCAGGCCGTGCAGTAAAGCCTCCACTCTTAAACAGCTTTAAGACGAGCCGTGACAAAAAAAAAGGAAAGAAAAAGACCATAATAAAAAGCTCGTGTTGGTAGCACTAACATATGGAAGAGGTTAAGATTCTGTAAGAATCTCTTTTTCACCCACTTTCAGTAGTTAAACTGCTCGAATAACATGCAAGTTTCAACACCCGCAATTCTTTTCCATCCCAGAGTCTTTAAATGAGCGGCTGAAGAAACAAAGCGTAATAACAGCCTGGAGTCTCACCATGTGACGTGGAAAGCCTGCCTGCAGCCATGTTTGTTGCAGGTCATGCAGGCTCCAGTGGCGGCTTTGCTCTCCCTGCCCTGTTCTTCACAGATGTAACAAGTCTACGCACAAAAACACAAGTTAAAGCCCTTTTAGTCAAAGACAAACCGGGCTCCAGCAAAAACTGTGAGAGCTGAATGTGTGTGCACGGGGCGAGTTACCTTGTTGTAGCGCTCATGTGGGACCGACTGGAGGACTATGGGCTCCATAGTTGACACATTCGCAAACTCTACCTCAGGTATGTAAAGGGCACAAACCACATGGGCCCAGCCTGTTGAGACCCACAAAGAACAACTATCAGCCCGGTAACATTTCACAGTTTGCACACAGATGTGTTAACTGCCTGCTACGATCCTAAGAATAACAAGAAGTGTGCAGATCTTGGGTTTGAGCTCATTTGATTCATCATCTCGCAACTTTTGGAGGGTTGAAGTAAAAGGAGATAAAAAAGTCTGGGCGTTGGGCAGCTGTACCAGTTTGCTGAAACAAGATGGAGCGTTTTCTTTTCAATTTTATAGACCAGTAACTCGAGACAGAGTCTTAAATGTGTGAGAAATGTGGACGAAGCAAGTGAACCACAACATTAAAATGCATTTACTTTTCAATGTGGTGAAGGCCCAAAGTGTTTTCTTACCGCTTACCGCTGACCTCATTTTCCTGGTCGTTCACAAAATGTTGCTGTGAACCCAAACGGAACCAAACCAAGAGCCTTTTTTTTTTGGCTTAAACCAGAACAACTAAACCGGCACATGTTCTGAACGTCCTGCTCGCCTTCCATTCAGTTTGAAGCTCATTTATGTTAAAACAATACAACTGTGACACACTTAATATTTCATTTTGTGAATTGGATGTCTGCTGACCTAATCATCTGTTTATTGAGCACCAATACACAAACACACACACACATGAACACACACACACGCACACAGCTGCCTGTCAATGAAGACAAACTGGGGGCAGTAGAATGACAGCAGGGCATGGTGGGGTGGCTACAGAATTGACGATGAGCTGAAGGGCTGGAGGAGGTGAACAGGAGGTCAAATGGAGGAGGGAGTCTCCTGCCACACTGGAGGTGTCTGTTTTTCCACGCAGCACACACAAAAACAGGCTTAAACTTACAGTTGAACCCGTGACCTGCCTTTGACCTCGTGAGCGGGACAGTGGGAGGAGGGCAGAGGGCGGGGACGGAAGGGTGGAGCGGGTGTGAAAAGTGGGCATGTTGTTGTTTTGAAGTCCCACCAAGAATCTGGAAGAGGACTATAAAAAACAGGACCATAAAAGTGGCCCAATCTTCCTCTGCAGTCTGAGCTTTCACACTTCCACCAAACAGACAAAAGGCATCAAAGCATTTTACTCACTGTCCAGTGGATTTAGTTGACAGCCTAACAAATGTCTCTGTGGTTAATCTAACCTCTGCATCTTGTCTGATATTTCACTCTCATGACTAAAGGAGGATCAGAATCTATATTTTAAATAGTTCTTTCCCACCTTCAAACAATAGCTCTGAGAGCAGAGCGAGGCCTTACAGAGCCATGGCCGGCCAAAAAGGAGGCGGCATTGGGTTGACGTTGACCTTATTTCTACATGTAGCCGGTTCAGGTAAATTCCTCAGCTCTGCTTTATTACTGTCCCACCTGAAACAACAACTACTGAGCAGGTCAACAAGTCAGAAGAAGCCGCCGACAGGAGAGAAGGGGAAAGCGATTGTGGGAGGAAAAGGGCAGGAAAAGGAGAAGAGACAGAGAGGGGTCATGAGAAGGGTAAAATAAAAGAGAAAGTAGTAAAACGGTGTGTGTTAGTGTTGTCCTGATGCCTCCCTGCAGGCCTGGACACAATCCCACAGCTGTGCCTCTCCCTGACAGACACAAACTCACACACACACACTGACTAACATGCACTCGGAATATTTACAGTCTCCACCAAGCTGACCTCTCCATGAACCCAGAGAGGAGACTCCTCACAGGCCGTGCACTATACCCATCCCGGCCCGCCCCCTCGTAAACACACACACACACACACACACACACACACTCACACGCTCTCATAAAACACGGACTGGCAAAGACGATACAGAGAGGCAGCACTCACAACAAACAACAACATAACTCTCCCAGCACGCTCACGGCCCTTAAACTTGCTGGTGACGTGCAGTTAATGACAACACACACAAGAGGCTAACCGCAGATGTGGCTGTGATGTGTGTGTGTGCGTGCGTGCGTGAGTAACTGAGACTGGGCCTACCTCCGTTGTCTGTCCTCTTGAGGGCTCCATCCTTGTGAGGGCAGAGTTCACACCTCTGTGGGTAAAGACGAACAGTTGAGGTTTATTCTCCAGAGTGCTGGGTCTCCTTTTTCTTTTGTGTGTGTCGTTGTGTGTGTGTGTGTGTGTGTGTGTGTGTGTGTGTGTGTGTGTGTGTATCAGCACATGTGAATGTTGGGGAAAGCATTTCAGTTATGATGAGTCAGCTGGTTGAGCTGGGAACCTGCTGGTGACTTGCTGACGTAATCAACAAGGCGAATGTCCATGGGCTGGGCACTCTCCACTGACCCTTATGGGCCACCGTAGCTTTGCCGGTGCTACTACTTTAAAGCTGCCGGGCTCAGGTGGCAGGTGTAGAGGAAGAGTTAAACGCAACAGCCGCTTTTACGTCACAGTTTCAAGATTCAGGAGACATTCCCTCTCTCCTTTCTCCCTAAAAAGGGCTGTGACCGCAGCTTGTTCTGATCATGAAGGCGGAAGGTTTTTTCCACCCGCTGTGTTAGACGGTTAGTGAGGGGAAAAGTCAGAAATCGGTGTGGCTGTATGAGGGCTTCCCAGGAGTTTGACAGGTGGGTTTGTTGGGCAGTGGGAGACATCCTGACCAGAATGAACCAGTTTGACCGCAAGTCCACGGCTTCCTTCAACAGCCCGGCTGGCCAAAAATTAATGGGACACGGTCTACTTCATGTGTAAACTCCAACAGAGGGAGGAGAATCAGAGTGGCAATTTTCTGAGATAAGAATCCTCCGACAATTGAGCTTTACAGAACAAATCATTTGGACAGCTGCTACATTTCTGGGAGCTGCTGTGCTGCTTACAGAAGGGGCTTTATTTGCTCTCTACAGCCAAATGGAAGTCCAGGTAAATGATTCAATGAGCTGGCCAAACTGTTGTATGAGCTCGTGCTTTTCAAAGGATTCTGACTTGTATGTAACATACAGTGGAACTGTAGTCATCTCACAGAAGCGATACAGCTTTTAAATAAAAGAAGGCCGACCGGGTATTTAAGTAACTAATTTAGAAGAATTTGATCTGATCTGACTGATGAAGAAAAGTGTAGGGATGCGTAGCCATACGACCCAGGTCATGTACAAACAGCAGGGAATTTAGGGAAAAGGTGTCATCTGAACTGCCCCTGCTTTTTCTGGTCTACTTGTCCACAATAGCAAGAAAACAAGACACACTTCCAAACACGGTCAGTCCCACAGCAGCAGCAAATCATAAGACATTGAGATGAAACTACAGAATTAATCAAGAACCGTCACCTAAACAAACTCTGACGCAAGTAAACTCCATCATTCTACATCTCTGTTGTCTAAAATCAGTCTTTATGGATCCCATAAAGAAATAAAATGTGTTTGCTTCTTAATCCAATTAAATAACTCCAAGCACAGCTCACTTATTGTTTACATAGTAAAAATGTATTTAATTTACATGGACCGACCTCTAAGCAAGTAAACTTACTGAATCACATTTCTACTGTCAGCTAAAGCTTTGAGAGGTTATTTAAGAAGTGGTCAAGTGTCATTATCAGTTTTCAGGATGTAAAAGAATGTTATTGTGAAACATCTCCTTTGATAGGGAACATCTGCTCATAAGGAAGGAGGATGGCTCTCACACCTGGATCAACAGCTACAGAAAGTAAATCCTGTCCTGACAAAACCTCGGCATGTCCTTGAGAGCTGGCTGAGGTCACGTTCAGTTGAATCTCAGCCAGATATACCAGTTTGTTTGTTGCACGGAGTTTCCTTGAGAGTCTTACACACTATTCTCCAGAGGTCTGCAGAAAGTGGGGTCAGATTTGCTGTAAACGTCAGAGGTCCTGTCTGGAGGTTGCGGTTTGGCACACTGTTATGGGGCAGGGTAGGTTTCTAATGTTTACACAGCCAGTGTGTCAAGTCACAGTAAGCTCAGCAAATGTTAAAAGAAAAGAATGATGTAAGCACGAGTGGGAGATGGCACATGAAATCATGCTGGTGCAGGCAGGTAAACCACACATAGTGGCAGTTGGAGGCAAGTCTGTGCAGACCTCTGTTTCACTTCTATTATTTATGATTTGTTTGACAGCCCAACTGATTCTTCCACACTGTCCAAACTGACTCAAGAGGAACCAATCCTCCACCTTTGCCAGGTGGTACTGTTATTCCAGCAGATAAGCCAGGTGATGGATGGTTAGAGGAGTTGGAGGACTTACCACGCGTGCTGCTCTCTCCTGAGATTCACACTTTCTGCAGAACCAAGGACCAGTGGGCACCTGGACGATGCCATAGCAGGCTGGGGGGGGGGAAGAAAAGAGACAGTAAATGATCCCTGCAACAACTAACACATGTAAATAACCATAACGAACCCGGGCTGTGACTTAAAACTAACACACCAAACCATGTGCGGCTCACCACTGTACAGAATGCTATAATGCCTATTATAGATGCCAGGAAACAAACATGTGATTGGATTCAGTGAATACAGAACTGTGTTTGGATCTGCCTGGAGACTGAACACAAAGCTTCAACTGTTGTCTTTGTGTAAAGCACTGCGTAGTTCTGACGTAGTGTGCGACAGAACATCGCAAAAAATGTTTGACGACAACAGAAACACAGACAAAACACTATTATTACTCAAATATATATGACCAGGTATAAAAATCTTTGGTATTCTGAATAGTTTAAAGTATTTTCTTGACTTCTAAACATATTTCTTTAGCAATGCCCATCTTTTAACAATGACCTTTTTTTTTTTGTGTTACAGGCCCTTGGCTGTGTAAGTACATATCCAAACACTGGAGCACTGTACATGGCAGAACTACACCGCATTCCCCTTCACATTTCCAGATTATCTCAAATCTGCCTAGAGCCCTTAATCTACTGGAATAAACAGCAATAATCCAGTGAAAATGGATGGCTGATCAAATCACTTAAGAGCTTGCCATTTGTATATGTTCCCAGGCTGACCAATAAAGGAAAAGAATGTTTGCTTGACATTTGTTGCTTTAAATATTAAAACACATGAAAATATTGATTTGAATATTAAATGTACTTAAGTGAAGCATTTCCATGGCATGGTTATACAAATAACTAAAAAGGTTTTAAAGGTCCTCCGCCTTAGTATACAAAATCAAACATCAACACAATTCATGAACTTGTTTCATAGAAAAAGAGTCAAATGGCCCAACAGTCAAAAGCCAAAACAGCACGGCTGCAATGTCCACAGATCAATTTTTGGGTTATTTTTCAAATAACCTCAAAGGTGAAAGTCATGGTGAGCATAGCCTTTCCTGAACTCAGAGATTCAACAGAGAGCGAACAAAAGGGAAAAATTTGCAAATAAAAGTTCTACAATTGCTGGAATTTACATTTTAGAACAGAACAATCCCATTAACCTTCTTCCTGTGCCTCTCTCTTAATATGGTGAACTTTAGCAGTAAAATAATAAGCACTATGACATTGACCTACATTTTAAAGTCAAATGACATCATAGGCCATTATTAGCCTTAGTTCAAAATAAAACATACAGCAATTTCTTAAATCCATATGAATACGTCAAAGGCAAGAAGAAATACCTAATAGCCCAAACGCTGTTGCAACCCTTACAAATTAAGTAGAGCTTAGATCACTAACATACCAACAGCCCTCCACGTGGGCCCAGAGCCGCTGACAGTTGCAGGAGTTTTCAGTCTCCCAGTGTGTTTGCCAAACGGACACATGGCCAATTTTTACTCATGTAAACAGTGAACGTCATCACGTGAGTCATCTTGAACGTGCACAGCTGCTGTACAAGAAGCTGGCATGCAGAGGTCTGTGTTTTGCTACTTGAGCTGGCCAAGAAAAAAATCAAAACACACAGGCCTTATGTAACTCTGTCTGGGCGTTCGTTTAAAAGCGCGCCTCGTGTGCTCCCTCGTCCCTTTCTCATATCCAAGCTTTCCTCGGAGGTTAACACGACGTGACAGGAGAATATCCCTCCTCTTTCCCCTCAAATGACAGCTTCTGACAAGGAAACAATGGCACAACGTGCAGCCAGAGGTGTTCTCACTCAGCCGTCGTCTTCCACCACTAAGACACAGGTTACTTTGGAAGCCGCGAGAAGGCAGAAGAGTGCCCGGCAGCGTGCGCTGACCTCGGCTTGGCCTTGGTGAGAGCAGGCGGAGAAGGCTTCACAACCTTACAACACGACAACGCTAACTAGCATCCAGGCTACGTGCTAAGTCCTTGTCATGCCAACACAACAGCTTACCTTGATGCACTGCGACGCTGCAGCCGTGACCGTCGCAGTATACGAGTGGGTTCTCTGCCCAGCCTCGTTCGTCTGAGCATACACAGCAACCACCGATCATCTCCTTCATATTATTCGTCGAGAGCTTGTCGTCCGCCGTCAGACAACGCTCGCCTGAGACCATCTACGGAGAAAGCGGACATGCGGAAGAATGCATAAAGATAGACCGAAAGCTTTGTCTAATAGGTCCGTCGTTTCCCTGCAACGCCACTTTATGTTCCACTCGGTCGAAATGTCATGTTTTAATCGTGTTTACGTCCCTTTTCGACGCCGTAATTTTTCACCAAAACATCGCCATCACGGCGCGATGGTGAGAAGAGGGGGAACTTCGTAGAGAACAGGAAATGCGTCATTACGCAAGTACGTACGTGCACGTATCCCCAGACAGGATGTAAAGGAGGACTGTGATTGGACGGCCGAAAGTTACGTTCCATTTTGGTTTCACATGCTGTAAAGTTAATAGTAGCGACTTCATTCTTCTTCAGTCAGTGTAAACACTGTAGTAACTGGATGCACAAAGATGTGACCTTTCAAGTTCAGCTGCAGTAAGAGAGGCTACATAGACCACAGAACTTATACGTGAAAAATATTTGCTGGACGGACAACATAACTTCTACACACGTGCATTTACATGTACATAAACACACAAACATATGGATGGAAAAATTATTCTAAATGACTATTCAACCCAACATGTCCAATGTATATTAATTTACATCATTGTGGATTAACTGTCCTCCGGTGTGAATAATTCTGAGTTTGTAAAGAGAAAAACACAATATTTTGAATTGTCAGGATTTTCCTTTTTTAAAAGAATTGTTAAAGGACCACTGTGATAATTTTTTAAATACAAATACGGCTTTGATCCCGGTATTTAAGGTTCAGTCAGTTTCAGTTTTGGCCATGCTCTCTTTTCATACAACACTACACATATACATAAACATATAAACAAATGTATTGATTGATTTAATAATGTTGGTAATATTTTTAAAAATACCATCTGCTTTTATTCTTCATTTTAAGAACCATTTGGTGCAATATAGCATAGGCTACTTTATGCAGAGTGTGTCTACATTTTCTGTAGACCAAATCAATCTCACTGGTTGTGCCCATTCTTGTGTGTACTTTAAATCTTAAACTCATTCAACATAAAACATTTGAAGGTGTTCATTGATTATCTTAAAGGTTTAAAATCAGTTACCAATGGCTGCTTTTCTTTAGTAACCTATACTTATTTCGAAAACATATATATGTAAATATGTATGCATATATGTCAACATATAGTTTTTTGACAGACTCCATGTTGTTGCCAAGGATGCTTCAGAACATGTATAGACATACACACACACTTACACACATGCTATTCCAAGAACTCAGCTGCTGCTTGCATCACCAACTCCTATGAGCGAGCTCCTGCTCTCGGTTTCCAGAGAAACGTAATGACTTGCCAATAATGCGCAGGAGCACACGAGCGTCCTCCGTGTAATATGGTGAGCGAGAGGTCCCTGGGAGTGCTTGCCCATTGTTTGCTTTAATTTCAAATTGCTCAAATGCTCCAGTCGACACTGGGTCCTGCACTAAAAGGGGGTGAGGGGCCAGGGAAAAAGAAAAAAAAAAGTGAATTGTGTGGCAGGGGAAAACCTATTAGAGCTGCAGAGAACAAAGGTAGCCAAAGGAAGGGGCAGCAGTCGTGAAAAGGCCCATGTAGCAACACTGAAAATTCTGAAAATGGCAAATAATTTTCACAACTTGCTCTTGATTAGGTCAAAGTCTGCACAAATTATACGTGATGTTCCTGTCAGAGAAAAGCTTTATTTGACATAGGAAATCACAGTGACGCTGTTTGCTTCCAGTGAGTGCTGGAAGCACGAAGCTTATACAAAAGCTTGAGTTTTTGTATAATTCATGATTTTAACCAAGCTGTCCTACATAGTGTATGTCAGAGCTTTGTTGTGCATGCTATAAATTTATCAACTTGGTGTTATGGTGAGGGTGAATCCACAAAAAAAAAAAAAAACTTTCAGCCACATGTTGAGAACAAAACGTTTAATGTCTCAATATTCTATTGCCATTCATACTACATTGAGATATAACATTTAATACAATTTTAACCTACATTTCTAAACTTTGAAACTAAAGGTTTCAAATACCTCGCCTGTTTCTGTATAGGGTGATAAAGTGAAATAACATATTACTGAAAGGCTAACACTGTTTCTTGTGTTTGTCATTGTTGTGCCCTGTTTAATTTCTTGTCTTTTTACATTTACCTTAGCTCGAGTGACTCTGCCATTGTGTCATCCACAATTCATTTTCAAAACAGGTGGCTCCATAACAATTCTGATGTGCCTCTGCTTTATGAAGTGTTGAAATTTCTCTGCAAAGAATTAGAAACACGGAGTACATGTGAGGAAATGGAATGGCAACACAGGAAAAGAAACCCACAGAGCCCAACTGTGTAATAGTATGTTGGAAGTACTATTTTACTTTTACTTATATATTGGTAACCACTTCATAGATTATATACATATATAGAGAGTTGAGAAAACATTCCTTTGATATGGAAATGAAGGTTTGTGAATGAGAATCACAACAAGAAGAATGTTCTTTTCAAACTGTTCCAGCTTCAAAAAACAACTATTGATAGCACTCCATACAGATGTTATGTGTTTTTTTTTTTTTTGCAATCAAGTCATAGGAGCTATTTTGCACGGGGGTGTTACATAAAAATCTGATGCTTTCAGTCCTCACTTAACACGATAAATAATCCAACCTCGCTTATGTAAAAAAAAAACAAAAAAAAAACATGTGTCACAAGACAGAAAGGTGTCATATAAATCCAGCATTTACAGTAAAAGTGAGGCAATGTGCAGGGTTTGAAAGACTGAACGCCCACTCAGCCTGCCTGCTTATGCATTGTGTGCTCATCCTGTCAATAAAGCTTTCAAAGCTCGGTACGTCATCATTCTGCAAGAATCAATTCAAGAGTAGGTTTTGATGTGGTTGATGCTCTTCAGCATTTGAGTAATTACATTTAACTCAGCAGTAAATATAACCTAGGCTATAAAACCCGTTTTCCTTCATATGCTGAGGTTAAGGGGATGAGTCTATGGCTCTGTGTGCGCTGACTTTGTTATAAGTTGCAAAAAAAAACACAGAGAGGCCACCGCACCTCGCCTTTCTCCTGCTTCCACCACATTCAGAGCCAGCCGTGCTTTGAGCTTCGTCGTGGTCCTCTTTCTGGAGTAGCACAGGGGCCGAAAAGAAAATACAAACACGGCGGGGTGAAAGGTGAAGAGAGCCCTCCCCCCACCACTGTCCGCACATACTTCAGGCTCGGATTGCATGTAAAATCACATTCTCCCTCGGTAGTGGGGGGTGGAGAGGAATTCATTGTTTTGGCATGGGGCAGTGGGTTTGTGTCATAAAAAGTCGATGCTCTTACAAGTGCCTGCGCCCCCCTTGACCAAGAGTCTCCATAAAACTCAATGCAAAACAAATGAGTTCGGAGCGGCAGGAGGAGCAACACGTTTGGTTTGATGGGTACTTAAATACAATACGAGAACTGATTTCTTCTGACTCAGAGCGAATAGGTCTAATAAATCCCCGCCTTTAAAGGCCCCGTGTTTTGTTTTACAGCGCTTGTCTTTGGAGAGAGTGTTCTTTCTAATTAGAAAGCCCATCCAATTAAGGTAGAATTTTCGGAGTGAAAACACTTAAAATGTTGGAAGTGATCCTTTGTCTTTCCGCGTTTTGCATTTGATATTTTGTTTATTCTTCTGTAACATGAACGTTAGTGGGAGTTTTTTTTTTTCTCGTGGTATTTGCAATTGTGGAAAATTACCAAACATGCCGCCCAGGTTAAATCTTTAGTGTTCCCTTTAAACAACACGAGGTTTAACTCCGAACATGCAAAAGCAGCGCAGGAGTAGCTCTGCGTCAGTGAGAGATTTGGTGGTCTGAGGCATTTCCCCCCCCTTCCCTGCATCACCAACACTCCCGTGATACCAGCGGGCTGTTGTGAGAAAGCTCCACCGCTCTTGGCGTCTCTCACTCGGCCACTCAGTCGTGTTTCCTCCCACTGGTTCGGGCCGGAATCCAGGCGCAGGAGAGGGGAGGGATAAATGCCCCTGTGGCATCTGCTGCGTAACAAAGAGAACCTGATCCTTACTGGAAAAAGCACACACACACACACCCGCGGATTTCTTTGATTGGAAAATCACCGAATTTGATTATGTTTTTCTTGATGGTTTGAGATGGCGCTCATAATCCGCAATAGGAAATGCGCACTCGGTAATTATTGAGGCAGATCTTTTGGCCAGTCCGAGCGAACACATTACACATCATTAGAAACCATGAATTATAATGATAATGAACAGAAAACGCCTCTATTGTGTGCTGGTGCTGGTTTTATTTTGTTTGGAAAATCGGGGTTTTTGTATATTTTTAAAAAGTGTATTCTGCTCTGATTAACTGTTTAGAAGAAAAACAACAGCAATTAGCTTATGACTGATTCAAATCAGTTTATTTATGTGTGGCCAATTCAAAACAGGAGTATAATTATAGACAGTTTCAAATTAGGATTAAATTCCCTTTCAATTAGTTTTTTTTTCCAGTTTAATCCAACTCAATGGCATGCAGACAAACGATTAAATTAAAATTATATCTATAGAATTACATTTATAGTTTTTTTTTTTTTTTAATAAATAAAACAGGGTTTACACAACTGTTTACGTTAAAACAGTATGATTAGATTCCCCGGCTTGGTTTACCAAGGAACGAAGAGCGACAAACAGCTTCATGTAACAAATTCCTGTTTGCAGATGCTACCGTTCTGGCGTGATGGGTGCACTTTGTGTGTGTCAGGGGGAATAAAACGGGTGGCATCTGCTATCTGATCCAATAACTGACTCATCAGGAACTGTCAACGACGAACAGAGTTTGTGGACCTGAGATGATTCAATCCTCAGGCAGCGAACTATGGGGTGGTCGGAGTTTGGGGCTCGTTGCTTTTTTCGGGCTGCTTTCTCCTCTGAAAAACCGCTGACAGCCTTTGAGGTAAAACATGAGGGGTGTACTGTGTGAAAACAAAAGAAATCCAGCTTCCCCGAAGAGAGACGGGACGTGAGGTGGCTGAAGCCCTGAGTGTCTCCTCCAGCCACCGCCTGGATCTGAGCGGCTCTCCCTGCCGGGTGAGCCGGATTCAGGTGCCCCTCCTCCGGGCAACCCTCAAACAGCGCGTGCTTCCTATATATTGCTTGTCATGCAGAATCAGCACGTAAAAAAACAGGTTTCCCCCCCCTTTCCCAAACCTGGGGGAAAGGGGGGGGTGTATATACGTGCATATAGCCTACAGCATGATGTGTGTGAAGCACATCGGGAATGTGGGTCAACTGACCCCGAGCTGAGCCGAGCTGAGTTAACTGAGCTAAAAACGGGCCGGGTGTCCTGTGAGATGCACGTTCGCTGTTGCACGGGGGGGGCGCACGCTGGGAAATGTCTTTTTCCGGGTGGGTTTCATGTCCATGTCACTTGTATGCACGTGCTGTTCGTGTGGAAGCTTATGGGGTGGCTTTATAGACTTATTTTTCCACTGGAAAAGCTGGAACGGGTGCAGGAGGTTTGAGAGTTTATTCTGTTGCAGGCTGATGTCACAGGCGTGTGTGTGTGTGTGTGTGTGTTTCTCCTCTTATATCCGCTGTTTGCAGCCACCTTAGTGCGTGTTGTGTACATACAGAGTTACCTGTGCGTGCGTCTGACAGTGAGAAGCGGGTTGGTGAACACCAACAGAAAGGAAGGGAAACGCTGGCCAGCCTGTAAATAAGCCCAATCGGGCTTGACGCACGCGGAGATGAGCGTGCCCAGTCTTGAGTTTGACCCCATCGCTGCAGCTTTGTGAGGAACGGGCCACAGGGGACTCACGTGTTTTATAGATAACAAAGACGGAAAGTCGAAGCAGGGAAGTATTGCAGAAAAAAACGCGGCTCAGGGGTGACACACATTAGTCGATCCAACCAGCGTAATGTGGACCCAAAGCTAGTTCAGCCAATTAAGCAATGCGATTATTTGGGAAAGCCCAGGGGTGTTTTTTTTAAACGCTTAGAAAATATTTAAAAATCCCACAAGGTTTTATAATTCATTCTGCACGTCTTGTGTCAAACGCCTTGGAGCTGAGGACTTGTTTGGATTTTTGGGGCCAGCCTGAAGCAACGCGGTGTGTAAAACGTGGGAAAAGCAGCCCTGACTTTGCACTTTTGTCCCTCTGAGTCGCTGCGCTGTTCATTTGAACGGAGCCACGTCTGACAAAGGTTTGATACGTGCGTGTGTGTGTGTGTGTGTGTGCGTGTCTAACTCACTTTAACCTGACTGTTACAGGTCTTTGCAAATGTTCTACTTGCACATGCAAACGCAGACGACGGAAAAAGAAAAACAAATAACAGCAACAAAACAAACAACAACAAAACGAGGCGAAGGAAAAATATGGAATAGTGGCAAACGCTTGTTGATCAATCAATAACTTCCTGGGCTGTTAAATGAACGCCGGGCTGTAATCAGCTAAATATGGGACAGCCTGTTTCCACCCAGGGACAAAAATAAATACATACATAAATTTAAAAAAAAAGATAAAGCCACCGAAAGCAGATGAGTGATTTTTTTTTTCTGAGCAGCAGCCTAAAAATGTTTAAAAGCAAATGCCTTTGTTTGAGCTTTGTGGTAGGACAAACACACACACACTCACACACACACACACACCGACGAGTAAAAGCGAGTCGTTTTTACCAACGATCATCTGTAATGTTTTGCTGCAAATAATTGCAAATGATTTTGCCTGCTGAGGTGCACTCATTCCGGGGATAAGGACACATTTAAGAGGCCCCAACGCGTCCGGGCTCCCTCCTTCTCCTCCGTACAGCCGGCCCAGACGCCGCGGACCGCCGGCCCCATTGTAAAGTCTACTGTAATAGCAGGGTGTGGGAGGAGGTGGGGATGGAATATCCATTTTTATTGCATCACCTGTCAGCGGCGCCCAATGGGCGTCGACTCTGAGGGCATTAATTGATGAAGGTGTCTCCAGACTTGGCCCACCTCCCCTCCTCTGTCATTTTATTTGCGGCTCAGCCAGCAGTCAGGATAGCAGCTGCATTTTTAGCTCTTATTCTGCTTCTCTCTCTGTCTCTGATTCTCTCCCTCTCTCTTTCTCCCTCCTCCTCCTCCTCCTCCTCCTCCTCCTCCTCCTCCTCCTCTACCTCCCCACCCTCTCACTCCCTCTCTCCCTCCCTCTTCTCGCTTATTTTATCCCTCTGACTGAGGCAGTGGTGTATATACCTACCCCTCGTCCCGCCGCCGTCCAGAGGGGAGTGGAGTCGGCAGAGGCAGGTAGCGGCAGCCCCGGCTTGGTGGACGCATCCGTCGCATTCCTTCCGCCATGCCGGTCCGGGGCAAGAGGCGAGGAGGGGATGCTGCCGGCTCCTTATCAGACCGGGGCCGCTCCATTTAACTCCGCATGTCAAAGTTTGCCTTTTCATGACGCAGCCAGCCAGCCAGCCAGCCAGCCAGCCTGCCAGCAGAGTGGATGGATTAAAGGTACGAGCAGGATGCCTTGAGCTCACCATGCCCCGTGCCATTGAGTGGGAAATCCGTAGCATATTCTGAGAGTGACTACATGGATTAATACATTGCGGCGGAGACGTAAAACCATGGGAGACCTGGAGTGTGGCTATGAGGAAATGCAAGGAGTCAAACTGGGATACCTGCTCATCAAAGGCAAGCAAATGTTCGCTTTGTCCCAGGTCTTCACGGACCTGCTGAAGAACATCCCCCGGACCACGGTGCACAAGCGCATGGATCACCTGAAGGTGAAGAAGCACCACTGCGACCTGGAGGAGCTGCGGAAGCTCAAAGCAATAAACTCTATCGCGTTCCACGCTGCTAAGTGCACGCTCATATCACGGGAGGATGTGGAGGCTCTCTACTTCTCCTGCAAGACGGAGCGGGTGTTGAAGTCCTCCAAAAGGAAAGCGAAAGCGCTGTGCTCCTCCGGGGATGAGGACGCGTCCCTGGGGCTCCTGCGCGCGGACGTGGAACTGTGGAACGAAAAAGTTTGGTTCAGTTTGCACGGCGTGCCGGAGGCTGTCACGCGCCAGCACGGCAAAACGGACAGGAGGAGAGAGCTGTCTCCTTGCCTTACCGACTCCAAACTACCTCAATTTTACCACAAAGCCCACGGGCGGGATCACCGTCCGGTGACTAAATTCAGTCACAAACACTTTAAAAACTATGAAACCGAGCCGGTCGCGGGGAACCGCGTCGCTCTGAGCCAAAGGCACTCCTTTTTCCGGAGCCGGCAGCCGCTGCTGTTCGAGTCCGCCATGGCAGCTCAGTCCAGGCTCTCGCGCTCAGCCGGCGACCTACTTCACAAAAGGAAGAGGAGGCGCGAGGGGGGCGGCGGCGGCAGGGACGGCGCGAGACACTCGTGGGGCCGGGGCAGACACCAGCAGCACGCGCCCCCGGTGCTGCTGCTCCAGCCCAAGTCGCCCGGCGTCCACGGGACGTCTTTCGGGGCTTTCCCCCTCGCGCCGGACTTCTGCCTCGACCCGCGACCCCTCCACCACCACCACCAGCACCACCACCATCACCACCACCACCACCACCACGTGCCCAGCTTCCCGGAGAACTACAGCAGCGACACCGAGTGCAGCACCTGCCCGGACTCGGACTTCGGCTCCGGCTTCTCCACCAGCAGCAACTCCGGGAGCTCCGAGGAGGAGGAGGAGGAGGAGGAGGAGGAAGGCGAGGATGAAGATGACACGCCGTCCGACAGCTCGGAGGTCAGCTCTGAGGAGGAGGAGGAGGAAGAGGAGGAGGAGAGCTCTTCCCAGTCCGACTCCAGCTCGGTGTCCAGCCGCGTTTCGGTCCAGAGCATCCGGTTCCGACGGGCCCGCGTGGGGTCGCTCGCCAAAACTTTCGGCTCCAGACCCCCCCTGCTGCTGCAGCCCACCTTCCACTACAGCCACGACGAGCCGGACAAACAGCTCAGGGAACTGGGGGGCGTCGACACCTCGCAAACGGGGGGCGACCGGCAGGGAAAACGTCCCAAATGTGACTTCGGACGCAGCGAAACGCGCGTGGACTTCAGAACCTCACGCCCCCCCAGCCTAAAGCCCGCCGCCGGGGGGGAGACTCTCTTCATCGAGCAGGCCAGGGGAAAGGCGCGCGGGGCCGATCCGAGCTGGACTGACCCTCCGGATGAGGTGACCCCTCACTCGCCGGGACGCGGCCCGCGCGAGGCCTCTCACCCGTCCCGCGGGGCCGCCGGACACTCGGCCAGATGCCCCCCCGGTCCGAGCGCGCAGCGCGAGCCCGACCAGCTTCAGAAATGCTCGGACAGAAAGGAAACGAAAGGCACCTGCACCTCCAAACTGCCCACAACCGCGTCCAAAAAAATCAAGAGCGAGCTGGATGAGCCCCCTGTGACCGCGACCCCCCAGCCGGACGGCCGGACGCCCCCTTTCAGCCTTTACAATGTGAAAGTTAAAGTGGAGGAGAGCTGTGATGAATATGAATACCAGAGCCAGGCCACTGCGGTCAGATGTAAAGGGGACGGGACGGAGAGCTGCGGCGGAATCGCTGGACATGCCGGGGACTTTCTCAGCGGCGGGATTAAAGCCACGGACAAATGCCCAGATGTGGCCTCCGGGTCAACCTGTGGTCCTCAGGAATGCGGGAGCAGCCGGGACAGCCCGTGCGCGGAGGAGGGGGAGCACGCGGGACACAAAACCTGCAGGGCCCCCACGCCGGGGAACACTAAGAAAGCCCGAGTCTCCAGGACGCACGCGAAACAAAACGTGCCCAGAGTCAACAAGGCTTCCCTTCCCTCCTTCTCCTCCTCCTCGTCCTCATCCTCCTCCTCCTCCTCCTCTTCTTCTTCTTCGCGTACCGCCGGCTGCGAGGATTCACCCACGGAGGATTTACCGAGCAGACGCAAACGCCTCACCACCGTAGCATCGCCTGTGAAAACGCCTTTCAGCCTGATGGCCAACTTCCCCTCCCCGCCGTCGTTGGTGGTGGGCAGCGACGGGGATCTGTGCCCGGCCTACTCCCTCACCTCGCTGAGGAGCTCCGGGCCTCCCCCTCCGTTCCACCCCGTGTGGAAGTGGCAGCCGGGCGGCCACATCCTCCCTCCCCCACTGCACGCTCAGAGGACTCGGAAATACTGAGCTAGTTTTAGGACAGAAAAGAAAAGAAGAAGAAAAACCTCACCACCTCCAACTGGACCTTTGCTTCTTGTCTTAACGTGCGCGCGCTGCGCCAAACTTTGCTTGTTTTCACTTCTGGTCTCCACTTCGTTTTTTCCTTTTTCTTTTTCTTTCTTTTGTTTTTTTTAACCCCCATCCCCTTGAGAATGGATTTACATTCCTCTTTCTTTTGAAGTTTGATCGAGGAAAAACCACAAGATCCCATTTGGAGCTTCTGAGAACACCCACAAGACTGTGAGACACAACTTGGTGGATTTATGCTTAAGGACTCTTGTTTTGGCATAAGCTAACAATCCCAAGCAATATGTTTTGCTCCCATTCTATCCACGTGACATTTTTCCAGAGCTCGACTGTTTCCTCCTCGCTTTTTCTCGACCTGTTGGATTGTATATGGTGCAAGTGATTGTCTGAATAGAGGAAAGGGGTTTTTTATAGACAAAAAAAGGACAAAAAGCGAAAGAATGTTCTGCATTCCTTTGCATGGGCTCCCTTTAATATGCCAGAGACTGTTTGATTTTGTAAATGAGAGACAGGTTACAAAAGAAAGAAAAAAAATCAGGGTTTCCCCATTCTGTGCCACGTGGTGTTTTGTTTATTTTTATTAAAAAGAAAAGATCAGTGATTTATTTTTTCTTTCATGTTGGCCACATTCGCTAATGTGGCCAACATGTACAGATTTAGATAATTATTTAAAATGGATATTTTTGTTTTCAATTACGCTCATGTTTGGTTCTCCAGATATTTGTTCTATTGGCGGTTGTGTTTTGGTTTCCTCTTTATTCCTAGGGTGCTTGTGATCAGGGTTTTTTTTAGTCTTCTTACTTCTGGGGAGCATTTCCTGTTTTCTAAACGTGCGGCAGCGCGTGCGGGCGCAGACACAGGCCTTAAACGTGCAGACAATCAACCAGAGAACGCGGCTCGCTCCATTCAAACCTCACGAGGTGGTCCACTCGGTTTCCCTCTGCCACGTCGCGTGCTTGCCGGGGTCAGTGTGTACGCGAATGAATGAAGGAAATAGGAGAAAAAATCCATAGCGTAAGGTGCCATGGCGTGGGTGGAGAGGAGCCCCAAACCCAGCAGAACCACTCTTCCCTCTGACACCGTTTCCCCTAGCGTGGTGCCACTAACCTGTGAAATGTAGCCTGTCTGAGAGCTGGGAGGAGATACTAGAGAGAAAAAAACCTGAAAAGCAGACTCTTTAATGAGAATGTAGACACAAAGCTAAGATTTTTCTTTTGTTTTGTTTTTTTCTTACATATAGCGTTACGGACCGTTTTCTGATCTTCTCTGTCTTAATTATATATGCTATATTTCCTATTTCTAAAAAAAATAACGTCTGATGGATTAAATGTAGTAAATAATTGGCTACTTGTGGTTGCCATGTCTCCTAAAGCTCCATCAGAACCATCAGGTTGTCTGAAATGTCGCTTTCCTTATTTGTCCAGCGCGTCCTGAATGTAGCCTCGTTTAGAATATGGCCGCCCTGTGGAGCAGCCCGAGCTGTTTTCCAGCTCCGCGTGGCCGTATACCTTTCAAACGAGGGGATTTGAAGTTGCACCTACATTTTTTTTTCCTGTTTTTTTTTTTTTTCTCCTCTAAATGAACGTGTCGGTGTTTGTTCGCGGCGGTGGAGGACGCGCTCTGCTAATTGGGGAGCTTTTCTGTGCGCCACAAAGAGAGGCCCCGGCAGCTTATGGCGAGCCAGATCACAACAAACCCAAAGCCCCTGAATGATTTCAGCCGCCTCCCAAGCACAGCAGAGATGTCCAGTCCTGCGCCCACTCTGAAGATTGTAGATATACCGTGTGACTGTTGTTGTTTTTTTTTATAAGAAAAAGGAAAAATGGTATAGAAAGAAACGGTTTTTTTTAGATACATAAACGCGCTCACTCTGCCTACATTAGGGTGCACGTGGTGTTTGGTGGTGTGTTGGAAACGCCACCGCCATTAGGATGCCCCCCAAACTCACCATGGGCCTTATTCCCGAGGCTGGGTCGACTCAAACTTGAACTTATATATTCTCTCAGCCTGGAAGCCGGGGCGGATTTTTTACACTATGGCACAAGCTCGTGTGTGAGCAGACGTGCAGTAAAACTGGGGGGGTGTGGGTGTGTGTGTGGGTGGGGGGGGGGGGTTCTCGAGGTTGGGGTTGAAGGGTTGGAGGGGGGGATTGTAGCTGTGTTGCAAGAGAGGGTCTTTCAACCTTTAATCCGCACGTCAGACGCATATAGGCTGCACGGCGTAGGGAAAGGAGGAATAACCGGCGCGGTTACACCCCCCCCCCCCCCCCCC